CCCGGCATAGCGTAGCTACTAAGGATTCCGGTCCATTCCACAACTTCCGTGTCCGGTGCATTGTCCTGCCATCTCATCCTAAGTATTCTGTGAAGGCAGATGAAGAAGAAGGGATTGAGCTTTCAGGCATGCGTTGCGTAGACAATCCAGATCTCCACTCCGCACAGAAGTGTCGTCAAGACGACAGCCTTGTACATATCCAGCTTGGTGTTCCGTTGAAAACCGTGACAATTCCATATGGTGGCATGCAGCCGGTTGGCTTTGGAGAGCCGACGGCCAACCTTATCGTGGATGTTTGCGTTGCGCGGGGGTGTGCTTTCTAGATAGGCCAAGAAGTCCACGGTTTGGAGTTTGTTGCTGTTGACAGTTATTCGGGAAGAGTTGTATTCAGCGTTCGATGAAAATTGATGCATTATCACCGTCTTGTCCGTATTGACGGTCAGTTCGAAGTAAGCACAACCGGAGGCGGAGAGGTCCGTGTTCCGCTGCATGTCTTCTTCGGTCGTGGTGTTGATTGCGGTGTCGTCGACGAAGAGCAGATCGCGAACGCTGGTCGTAGCTAGCCACGCTCGGGCCTGCATACGCTTGCTGTTGAGAAACTGCTAGTCATTTCTATAGGCGATGCGTATCCCAGGACTCTCGTCACGGTAGGCGTCCATCAGCACGACAGATAACATGAGGTTGAAATGGGTGGGAATTAGGACTCAACCCTGCTTCATTCCACTGGTTACTGCGAATGCCTCGGAGATTGCACCATTGTCCGTGACGTGCTCTATCATCCTGTCGTGGAGCTGACGTACCACGTGCGTGAAACGCTCTGAAAAGATAGCACTGTACACCACGCTCGACAGCATAAGTGCTAGCTAAAAGCCTCGATACGTGTTTCGCCGATGTCCTGCCTCAGCGTGACACAAATACGAAGGGTTTGGCTCATCCGGGGGTACCACAGCGTTCCGCGTGCGCTTTTCTGGTAGATAATTTAGTTTTTATATTGCGGCCTTTTAACATCCGCAGAAATAAGTCGCAAGTATTTAGTAAATCAGTCAGTCCGAGACTTGTAGCCTCGGACTGAAATTTGATATGGATATTTTGGGCCGAAATTCGTCAGCATATAAATTCATTAATTTCTGAGAAAATAAAAACCGCAATTTTGAAATATACGGTGATGAGCAGAAGTGGCGTGTCTTTTCGAAATATAGCGTGTTTCATGCCTTTCAAGTGCGTTGAACCAACACGGGCGCCATAGGCAACATACACCTATGACCAGTTCTAAAGTTGCGAGTATGGCAACGCGCCGAGGTGCAAGCCCATACAACGGCAGTTGAAATCCAAACCGCTCTTTCGTCTTCTTTTTATGTAAAATCCCAGTCAGTATATGCTGTGGACCAATGGTGTGGCGGAATGCTTAAGTACAGGCTTTCGTCGCGTTCTCTCAGGAATGCGGTGTTCTTGATTCTGTCAACACTGAGTCCAGGCGGGGAGGGGGAGGGGAGAGAAGGAAAAGAACGGTAGGTGCAGCCGAAGTCTATTATTACCATCATAAAAGGAGTCATGCGCAAGTTATCTTTCCTGCTTTTATTCTATTACGGGGGACAAAGTGGACGTCGTCAGAAACGATGGTTCGCTGTCACATAGCGCATTTGTAGGGGCTTTCCAAATGTCTGCTTGAGACACTGCACTTAGGGCCAAGTAGTCACTCGTTAACCTGAAAAATGAAGTAATATTTAGTCTTACCGAAAGCTGTTACCGGGAACTTAGACGTCGGCTACAAATACTGTGTCGTTCAGTTGGAGATTGTGTAAAATCTTAGCGTAAGCAGAGAGCAATTCCTAGGGTGAGGTTTAGTGTTAAGGCCTAGGGTCAAGTTTGAAACTAATTTTAGGGTCAACTTTTGGGGGTAGGTTTAGAATCAGGGCGTAGGTTTGGATTTAAGTTTAGGATTAAGTCTGGGTCTATGGTTCGGTTTAAGTTTAGGGTTCCGTATGGGGATAGATTTGGGGTTAGTATACTTTCGGCTCTGGTCTTTCTTTAGGGGATAATAAAGCGCATGCTCAGTTGCTAAGCTCAGGTGAAATTTGTGCTACGCGTAATATAAGGTATTTGGATATAAAATTTTGTTGACTTCTGGGCGTGGCCTAGAGCGGACGCTGGCTCCAGTTTGAGCTACCCTTCGTATGAATTAAAGTACCTCTTACGCTATCAAAAAGTGCTGTGGCGTCGTCGGGCGCGGTTTTAAATTGGCCTCTGCACTTTTTTTTGGGAGTCGTGCAAACGTCTCGGACATGTTTTCCTTCGTCATCATTGCCACCGACACCTCTGTCAGCCAAAAATGTTATGAGGCCGCTCAGGAAAAAGTTACCAGTCGTGAACTTGAATCATATATCAATAAGAAATGTCACGGTGGTGGACGACGGGATTGGCTACCTAGGGAAAACATGGATAAAATCTTGTAAAATCCGCGTTAATCGTCCCCTCTTCAAGGGCCGTTTCGCCAACTCCTCGGGCTGCTTCGTCGTAGGACCTATGAGAAAGGGTTGCGCGGTCGGTTGGTTGCGTTGATTGATACATATAATTGGACTAGTGTCCAGGCAGTCAATCGTCAGATAGCGATAGGAATGAGAATCGTTTATTGAAAAATGTAGATAATATAAACAGTAAACAACAGGAAGACAGACATAGATAATATCCTCGACAAGAGTCCATCACGGAAGGATCCCTCGGACAATAAATGCCGAGTTAATTCTTGAGCGAAACACAGAGGACGTAGTGCTAAAAGCCACTACAGTTGATTCTGAAATAAAAAAAACTGCCGCAGTTTTGTCTCTCTCCCGGAAGTCACTCTAGTTAAACAACAAAAAATTGGTTCGAATTTGCCCATGCAACGTTAGACGAAATGCTAGGCGTATGAATGTCTAAGTCGGAAATTAACGATCGGTCGAGGTCAACGACAAGAAGCGGACATCAGGCGAAAGAGCAGAGCAAGAGATAGCAAGAGGGAGAGGAATTGTCCACCACACGTTTATTGCTGCTCGCTTCTTCACAAGCCCCACGCAAAAGTCCCTGACCCGTTAAAACATCCGGTTTATCCTGGTCCGCATCAGTGTGGTCTGCCAAGGCGTCCACTGAGGGCTTCCTCGAAAGAGAGAGAAAGGGGGTACATGTAGCGCATTTGAGAACGCTCTGCGCCGTTACACTCAACAAAAGCTAATGTTGCACGCCGCCCAAGAAACCAAAAAGTAAACAAACAAACACTAGGTCAGTCAGTTGACACAAACAAATGACAAAGCCCAGTTTACTCAAAAGGCAAACTAATCTGATAATTATAGTCGGAAGACGAAAGCAAATTACGCTTCATTACTGACATTTCCAACCGACTATCGTCATTATCGACCGCAAGCAGGTCAAATAACACGCACATCCTTACTGCTATATTTAGCCGGCTAACGTTACCGGACGGACTATTTTTAGCTGATAACCATGAAAAAACCGAAGTTCGAGCGAGCTGCCTGAAATTTCCAAAACGGATAACCGTATTCTAACCCTCTCACTCAAAACGTCAGCCCTTCGTAGCTATTATATATGCCGTTTGCATAAGACGATGAAAACTTGCACGCAGCTTCAGTGCTGGTTTTAGTTTTGCAGTATACGCGTTAGGAGATAGTAAGCAAACCAACTTTTTCTGGTACGGGCACATGACCTGCGAAAGTCCAGAAAACCATTCGCCTTGAAAATGTTTGCCGTTTTGACCTTTTCAGTCAGCAAAAATTCATGTAGGTGGTCCGCTTTAAAGAGCGTTGTCGTAATTCTGTCAGTCATTCTGTGAATGACATAAAAAAGACGTGGGAACTTCTTATTATCGTATGCGGTCGCCTAAGAATGCACCAACCTTTGACATTTCTTACTGAACCGAGTTTCTTGATGGCATCCTCTGGGTCGTTTAATGGCCGGAAGAATCGCCCAAACGTAATTTCGCAATATTGAAATTTAAAACGTATCCTAGAAGCTCGCGTGAAAAAGTTAAATCAATCGCCTGATAGCTGGTGGAAACACTCCGCAAATTCCTTCCGATAGTTACGCGATAGTCCCCCATACAAAGGGCCTTGTTAAGTAACACACGTGCGGATGAAACCTAATAGCGCACACAACCCAAAACCCATAACGTAAAAGGACAAATATATCGTTGATTAGTTAAAACAAATAAACAGCAAAGTATTGCATGCTCGAGAAGCATAGAAAGATGGTCACCAAAGTGGTAATGCGATAGCAAATTTCCTTTGAATAATAGGATTTCCAACAGACTATTGTAAATGTCGACCGTTTGCCGTACAATTAACCAATTATATAGGTAAAATGATTGGCACATCCCCATCGCCTAATCTAACCGGATGGCGTTTTCAAACGGACAACTGGAAGCCAAAAACCGTGAAAATTCTAAAGGTTGGGAAAACTGCGTGAAACTTTCGTAACGAGGGACTATATACTAACTGTAGTAACAATACTAACTGACTATGCTAACCAACTAACCAAATAATAAACCAAATGCTTGTATAAATAACTAACTAACCAACTAACTAAATAACCAACTGATTACCTTTCTAACCAACAAACTAACTGACTAACCAACCGACTAACTAACTAACTAACTACGTACCCGACTAACTAACTAACTGACTAACAAACTAACCAGTTATACTAACCAGCTAACTAACTATACTAACTTACCGACTAGCCAACTATACTCAAAACCTTACTAAATTGTGAGTGAGATGCGTGAAACTGTAAAAGCGAGTAACTATATAATAAATTCTTATTTGACGAACTGCCTCAATCGACCCACTATCTTAGTGACACCTTCTGGGTCTCTCAGGGGTTGGAAGTATCACTCAAACATAATTTCACAAAATGTAATCTCAAGAATAGTCCTATAAGCCATCGCCGTGTAAAGTCCCTTGATCTGAACAGGGTTGGTTGAGTGGTGTGACACTTTTTGGTGCGCGGACCTAGGGTGGAGATGACGCAACCGCGTGCTGGAGATGACCGGTGACCTTTCCTCTTACTTCCGCGATCCCTGCCCCGCATCGTACCGTAATTTTCGTATCCTGCTCCTCCTGCTCCTCCTCCTCCTGCTCCTCCTCCTGCTCCTCCTCCTGCTCCTCCTCCTGCTCCTCCTCCTCCTCCTCCTCCTCCTCCTCCTCCTCCTCTCTACGTCGGCACCTCCCTCGGCTCTCCCCTGCAGTTGCCCACGGCGCTTTGTTCCCCACCGGTTACTTAACTGGCATGTACTATTGCCTCCTTACCCAGACAGGTTATTCTACAACTATCTATCTCCGCCAGGGTCTCCTCTCAGCGTTCTCTTTCTTTGATGTGTGTCATGTAAGGCCCCTGGACATGAACAGAATTGTTTGAATGTGTGACACTTTTCAGCGCGAGGACCTAGGATAGAGATGATGGCCGGTGTCCCTTCTCTCTCTTCCGCCGATCCCTTCCCCCGTGCCGTACCGTAACACTCGCATCGCTGTCCGTCTCGCCACATCGGCACCTCCCTCGGCCCTTTTCTGAAGTTGTCCACAGCGCCGCATTCCCCACCGGTTAATGAGCTGGCATGTCGATATCACCTCTCCACCCAGACAGGTTATTTTGTGGCTGTAACTCATTCCACCTGTATTGAGTAACTATGATTATTATACGTATCTCCCATGACCGTCTTGTTATACTATACTGTATCCCGTTTCCAACGTACCATCTTCTGTTTGCGTGTGAACGAGTATTCAGAGATGCTAACAGCTCCGTTCAGATCTATCATCCTCCAGGATCCTCTCTCAGCGTTTCCATACCATGGTGTGTGCTACCCTTGACGTCCTCGGCCGCTACAGCGACTCGCATGAAAACGTTCGACCAATCACTATTCAGCACTCTGAAACCCGTCCGCATATCGCGTTCTTCTAATCACTCACCGTACATTTGGCTTCTTCGTAAATGGGTGATCCAAATTTTGCGCATGTTGTGATTGACGGTTCCGTTCTTGAGGGCGTACGAACTGTACAATTGTTTATTAATTTTCATTAAGGGTGGTCAAATTTTGAGAAATGCTGTTAGCCTATCAGTTCTTGCTAAGAAGGCAGTGACGATCGAAAAAATAAGGGCCGGACGACCAAAACCGGGATTAAGGTAATTCAATATCTGCCAAAAATTATTGTTAGTCCCCAGCACCTGACGGGTCTGGAGTTAGCAGCTCTTGTGTCAGACGCACAACTCCAAGGCTGTATTTCTGGTTCACAGCAAATTACATTTAAGCCGAAATGTATTAAGACGGGAGAGTTCGAGGGTGACACAAAAACCGCAGGGTAATTTTGTTATAAATGCTTATGCGACTAGCTCCGTTGCATTACTGGCCCAGATTACCGTGCCAATACTTGCCTTTGGACAGCACGCGAGCACCCTTATTCTTAAGGGTGGAACTGATGCCAGCTTTGCCCCTCCGATAGATTATCTGAGTGAGGTATGTTCTTATTCCCATCCAGTTTATAAGGAAGGTAACTGCACATTACTATCGGAAGATGGGCCTGCACTTTGACATCGAGGTCCTTGAACGGTACCCATCCCTTCGCTTCCTTATGTATTAGTGGCTACTACCCCCGGGGTGGTGGAAAAGTCAAAGTTGTTGTACAACCTGTGGCTCCGAAGCTCACTCCAATCACCTTACACGAAATTGGAAGCATATCAAAAGTATTTGGTTCTGCTTTCGTTGCTGGGAAGGTCCCAATTAAAGTGAGTAAACGACCTGGATTTAGGATCGTAATTTCGATATTTCATCTCGATGCCAATCGCTGTATCGTCTTCATCTCTATCCTCTGTCCCTACGTAGGTTGCGGAAGAGATGTCCGCGGTCGCCAGGCGATTATTTCGAAACCACCTTCCCGAATGCCCGATTAATATAAGCGCATTCCGTGCCCCGGACAACCGCTTTCACGGTAGCGTAGCAACGTTCTTGTGAGCATTTCGCTAGTTTTTTTTTAAAAAAACACTCACTCATTACTTTTGGACGGTTACCATACTGGATATGCTCTCTTCTTTTCCATCATGCACCTGAGCCGCGCATTATCATCACAAACCAATTATGAACAAACAGTTGAGAGCGATGGTCAACCATTATAATTTTTCTGGCCAACACTATCAACCATTTCTCAATTCGCGCTTAGGTTCGTGCTCGAGACTTCAACCGGTTGTCGTCTAGCTGCATCTAGACTCAGTCAGCCCCGCGGGCCTTCTGCGGAGGACCTGGTCACAGATGCGATTGAAGAGCTTATGAACAGCGTCCGGGCTGGGTCTTGCTGCGACGAGAACATGCAGGATATGCTAGTCTTGCCTATGGCTCTGGCTGACGGAAAATCAAGCCTCCGCACTACCGCCCTCACCCTGCACACTCAGTCGGCCATCTACGTGGCGGAGAAACTCCTGCCGGTGGGTTTTCTGCTTTTATATGTCTTCATGTTTTCTTCCACTCGCTCTTATGCGCAGGTTTCCCTCTATTTCACGCGTCTGACGCATTTTTGTGCTGTATAAAATGCGCAGACCGCCGAAAGTGCGTTTTGAATCTTGAGTACTGCTAGCTTTCTACAATGTAATTTTACGAAAAATTTCTTTCACGTGCGAATTTCCCGAGGATTGTCACAAGCGCTGAAGGATGAAAGGATCCCGTCTTGACACTAGATAGTTTCTTCAAATAGACTGTACAGCTCTCGAGCGTCCCCCGTGGGTGCTCAGCGGGTAACCTCAGGCATATGCTGTAATATAAAATTTGCCACAATCGCACTTAGTGGATGCTGCCTGCCTTCAGAGTGCAGCGTCCTCCCATGCAGACGCCCCCACTACTACAGGGGTAAGACGTCCCATGTTACGAGGTTCTTGGAGCATAGATTGCAGTCCATAAGAACGGCCCTACCTCAGCCGTCAATGTTGAAAAAACAAGTTGGCCGATAAGCCGCTTGGCCATCCGGAAGGCCAATCTAAATGACAGAGCAGTGGCTTGTGCCAGCTTCTAAAAACATCGACCACTTTCAAGCTTTGGTCGAAATAGCCATACCTACTGAATGATTTGATAAAGACGGTCTTTACCGAATTCCCTTAGGTCAAATTCGTCGTGGAGGAGCAGGCCAACGGGACGGTCCTTCTGTCTTGTGAAGGCGTCGGCTTGAGTGGATCCTCGCTCTAACCCACCTGTCCTCCAGCCCCTACAAGCTCCGCCCAATAAATTCTTCTATCATGTGCCAAATTTGTCTATTTTTTTCTGTTTCTTTGCATGTGGGCACTTTTCACATACTTACACCCCCCACGCTGACAATGGCGTCGGTCGGGCAGTCTATCCGCTAGAAGTAGGAACCCAGACAATCTACGAGCCAAATTAAGAAGGGCAGGAACCAGATCAAGATCTTCGCAACGATGGTGTGTGTGTGGGGCCAGAGGCTCACCAGTCCCAAGTCTAGTAACGTTCCCGCTCGACCTTCATGCGTCACGGAGGGTGGGGAATGAATGGAGCCTCGGGACAGTTATGAGCTTCCGAGCAACCATCCACTCAGTACGACCATACAGAAGATCCTAGACTTGGCCTACTCCCTGATATTCAAGGAGAATGTTTCCCCCTGTTAGGACATTCTCATCGCTTTGTGACAACAAATGGTCGCGTGCGTTGCTGCGTGTTAAAAGGGTAGGGAGGGAATACACCTCCGAACACTGGAAGAATAGATTGGAAGAGGCGTGTCGCTGACGCATAGTCCAGCACCTTGATGCCCATCAGACCTAACATTCACTTAGAAGAGCATGACTTGACGCATTGTCTACTCTTATTTCTTTTGTAGCAAATAATAATGAAAAAACAGGGCGGTAGTTTTGGACCGCCAAGGTGATTACACCACGGAAAAGAGCAAGAATGGGAGTCAGAAGACCGCCGCAGGCGTCCCAGACGTAAAAAGGTCCGGTCCGCGTGATGACAACAGAGACGGGGGTCAAAAAGAGTGAAGAAGGTGAGACCCGGTATCCCCCTTTTAGCTCGCTGCTGGGGGATGGGTCGCTGGTTCTTGCTCCTTGTTCCAATCCTTTAGACCAGGTGGCAGTGATGTGTCCTCGTCCAGAGAACCTACAGTCGATAAAAAAGGGCGTGATTATGAGGGTGACCACAAGACCGACGTTTTAGAGCATAAATTCTCAACAATTCCAGTCTGCTGAAAAAGACGAGGCAACTGCTTAGACAGCGCTTAATGTCGTCGACACCGTCATTTACATGGACCGGGTGACGTTTGTAAGAACTATTTCCATGAATTTACCCTGACTTTATGAGAAAGTCCTTGTGAATTTCCAAACATAAATTACGGATCTGCCACTTCAAGGGCATATAGATGCGGAGACCCGTACTCGAACAGTCCCCGGACACGATAGTCATAAGACCTGCGCCATATAAAGTGACCACTAACTGCGGCAAGAACAGGAAGGCTGAGCAAGTTCATGTTTTTCAATTTAGGCACACGTCTGACCATGTATGGTACGGTTCTAAAAATTGCAATGCCTATTTCATGACAGTAGGGAAGGCTTTCTAGATAACGGATGGAACCGACAACGACCACTGCCTACAACATTATTGTAGAGGACTCTTTCTCTGCCAAATTTGATCAAAACATCCGGCCTGTAGAATAGTATGCTGAGCTATCTAAGGTTCCACGTAATCCAGTCGTCTTACCTGAACCGACGAGCTCCTCGTAAGTGCTCTTCTCCTTGAATGGTCGTGGCCCGAGCACCTCGATGAGATCCTCCTTCTGCAACTGTTCCTTTTCTAACAGGCGAAGGGCTAACTGGTAGGGGATGGGAGGAGAGAATAAAGAGGCAGGTTGAGGAATCACAGAATTTGGGCTCGAGCAGCTCTGTTAACCTTCGTCACTTGGGCCCCACCCACTGTCAGTGATTGCGGTGTGGCCAGTTAAATCTGAAAACACATACATGTCAAACCTACAGAGGTCAGTCAACTCGTACGGAGTTGGCTGGCTTTCGGGTCCACGACATAAGTCACGGTCTTTCAGGAAGATCGGCTATACAGTGAATGCCCTCCCCCTGACCTATGGGTTGGACCTTATTCACCGGGCAATGGCCTTCCGAATGACGGGAAACTGTCCTGATGTAATATTGCCCTAGAATGCGGACTTTTATGGGTAGTCGATTTGTCAGATTGGTGTCCAGTCGTGCCTGGACGTAGTATCGCTGGATGCTATGTGGAAGTTCAGTCACCAAACCCAGGAGTAAGGCTATGATGAGAGCAATTCCACCATCCGTCGCCAGTGGATCCACCGGGCAGCCCGAAAATAGGCCAACCGGCAAGCCGTGTATCCGATGTCCCTATTGTAGGGGAAGTGGTGCTTGACCGATTAGTAGACGATGATCCAAGGCTAATTCTGATCTAACTGATAAGTAGTGCAGGTCCCCTACATGCGCAGCGCACGTCTTGGGACCGCTATGCACGTAGCTTCCAGAAGTGAGCTGCGGGTCTTTACCCTCTTGTAGATTAATACGCCAAGTCTGACAAGCTAGCTTCGCAACCATTGCAGGAAAACAAGCGCGGATAGTCGCGGGAAACACTGTGTCCGGAAGTCCTACGAAGAAGCCGACTGCAGGGCTAAAAAGCGCCCCTTGACATACAGTATTGATGGCTTGGCCTCCTTAAGATCTCGAAGGTTCTGCCCTAAACAAATGCTGGGAAGTGCTGTCATCTGCAAGTATACAGAAGCAAAACTCGCAACCTCCGTCCCACGGGCAGCAAGTGTTAGCCACCGCACCCACTTTCTGTATCAGACAACTGACTGGCTCGAACAGTGGACTGATACCGGAGAAGAGGGTGAGGTCGAGGGTCTCCGTGCGTATTTCTCACTGAAAACTATCTGACGCGTTTGAACCTACCAACTGCCAACTGACGAAACAACTCGGGCCTTACGGTCAGGCCAGTGTGTGTTTGTGTGAGCTAGCCGACTGGTAGGCTGGCATGCTTAGGTGCGGGTTTTCGCCCTGCCAGTCACATGCGTGCTCTCCCGCCTCCGGTCTTCTTGACTCTGTCATGACACCGAACCGAGTGCAATGGGCGCAGAGCAAGTCCACCACCGCTATAAATGAATTCACGCGCAAGTCACTGTCTCCACCTCCGACCGCACACGGTTGACATGTTCGAAAACGACGGTCAAAGTGTCAGTAAAGTAAGCAGGAGATTACTGACTGGGGTGGCCATTTCTGGCTTATTGGTCACCGTCATCAGCCAGCCTTACCCAACCCCAGGTGAGAGCCCCAAAGCACAAAGGGATGAGCATGTGCCGTGACCCGATCAGTGAACGCATCACCAACATACAGTGCGTGACCGATCTCATGAAGTGTTGGCCAATATTCTGAAATGCGTTTTCGATTAGGAAGGATTACTTAAGCGCGTTTGTAATACCGATTATCTTTCGGCATAATCCTATAATATTTCGGACTCGGTAGGATGTCCGCTTTTAAATGCACTGCTTTTCAATCTCCCGTAGAGACCGTACTCGGTAGAAAATTGCTACTTAAGTAGCATGCATTTTTCACACTGATTTTCGACGGTCTCGCAAATTCAAATGTATTTTATAGAATGCGCGGACAAAAATACGCCTCCTTTCAGTCGTTTGATAGAAAATCACGTCATCTTTATTTTTTATGCTCGAAAAGGCGTATAATTAGGTTTAAGGAAGTTTTTTGAATCCCGAATAATTTGGGGCCTAATCACCCGTTGCATTAGCGCCTAGTGATTTCATTCTACAAGGTAAAGGAGTTCCGCGTAAAGAAAATCACATACTCTTCTACGCCTTTAAAAAGATACTATATAGAGTCCATAAAATTTTGCAATGGATGAGGGCCATGTTGCATATTTCACGAGGAGCAGTGGTAAACGGAGAGGTACAATGCCGTATGGATGTACATTGCACGGTCTTAAAAGTCTCATAACTAGAAACTTTTAAAAAATCTAATTATACGCCTTTTCGAGCATAAAAAATAAAGATAACGTAATTTTCTATCAAACGACTGAAAGGAGGCGTATTTTTGTTCGCGCATTCTATAAAATACATTTGAATTTGCAAAACCACTGAAAATCGGTGTGAAAAATGCACACTACTTAAGTAGTAATTTTCTACCGAGTACGGCTTCTACAGGAGATTGAAAAGCAGTGCATTTAAAAGCGGACATCCTACCGAGTCCGAAATATTATAGGATTATGCCGAAAGATAATAAGTTTTACAATCCGTCCTAATCGAAAACGCATTTCAGAATTTTGGCCAACATTTCATAAGATCGGTCACGCACTGCATAGCAAATCGTGTCCAGGAATTCTAGATAAACCCAACGAAGTTCGCAAAATTACAGTCAGTAGGCAGCGCACGCGACGTGTGGAAAACTTTCCAACAACTTTCGACTGATGACGCAATATGCTGCGCCGAGAAAACTGGCAGGTGTCAGTGCGATCTCACTGGTGCCCGGTGCATAACGACTCACACAGGGCAGCAGCCTGCGTGGCGTTATGGAGAACGTCTTTGCAGGTCCTTCTTAAGTCGAGGCAGTGTGCAAAGTAGGCTGTGCGGTCAACCGTTTCGGTCTTAAAGAGCAAAGAACAACGGGCCTGCCTGTACGGGGGTGGCGAGTAGTAGAACGACCCCCAGAAAAAACTGGCTACATAATGAGTAGTCTGTGAGGTCTGCCGGGTAAGTATTCATGAAACAGCAAAGGCGAAAAGCTAAGGTCTGAAACGTCGCCCGTCAAACAAAGTACTGCAGAGACCGGGAGACGGCGACTGCCAACTTAACACTGCTACCATGCCGGTTGCTCCTACCCAGCCATAACGTCAGGAGACAACCTAGAACAAGTAACCCTAACTACTGTTTGGGACCTGCCCGCATGGAGAGTTCACGAAACACCGTCTGGCAAGTAAGCCGGGCAGATCAGACACGATCAAAGAGGTGGCAACGGAGAAACAGTCATAGAAACGGCTGTCCTGTGCGCATGCGGGCCATTCACATCACAGGCAGAACTAACAAGGGGGGTCACACTTGAAGGGGTGGACGACGTCAGTTTCCTGGAACCGTTTTCCAGTGGGAAGGGTCAGACTGAGGAGGAAATACACCTTCTCAGATGCCGGCGAGGAGAAGTTAAATACGAATGCACTAACCATCACGCTGAGGTCAAATATTCAGACAAGTAGTGACGACCGTTAGAGCACATTGTGGTGGAGTCCACAGCCAGAGTAGAGAACTACCCACTTCAGCACGGGGGAACATGGCGACAGGACGTGCGTGCGGGTTTGACAGTCGGTGCCTGAGAGATGGTTTACGCCGCGAATCAAGTGTTTGGAAGGGAGGGGAGGAGGCTTAATTAACAAATGGGAAATATTACTGACTAAAGGACGGAGCATGGTTGTCAGTTTACTTCAAAATACGTATACCATACCAGGCAGGCTGTCCGGTTCATTAGTAAGAGAAGCCGGCAAGCGTTGTGACGCAAGTAAGCTAGACAACTGACGGGTCGATCACCACAATCTAGACTGTCTTGCCACACTTTTTTTGTTGGACAGGGAGCATCATTGTTCCTCTGCAAGTCAGACCACGGCGCGAGGACCACCTCCTTCAGCTCGTCAAAAAAACGACCGAACCGTGGCTCAGACGGCAACGGACGTGGACGGTCGACCAGATGAGCGCGTGGCATCCTATACTTCCCGGACTCGAGGCACACCGGTTTAAGATTCCAAAACTGGACTGAATGGTAGGTGGAGTTTTGTTGGAGAGCTGGCAATATTCGTCGTGTCACAATGTCGCTATGTCCTGTAAACTTTTTACAGACTACGGGTTTACAAGATGGTTTCCCAGTCACGCCTGAAGGCATTGCCGCAGCATGATTTACGGCCGCTGGTGGGGCGAATTGAAAGACGCAATGATGCAGATTTTGCGCAGATTTTCCTCATTGTGGTCCGATCCCTATGAAAGCACAACTAATGGCACAGCTTTGGTCTTCAGAGAAGACAACGAAGGGACTACAGGTGAGCACCTGCGTTAAGGGTCAGTTTACAAACGAATTTTAAGGACTACAACTCGCAAACCATCGTTAGTTCTCATGAATGGTGTTCTTTCTCTAGACTGATGGTAAAGACCATCTTTAACAAGCACTACAACACAAAACGTTAAGCAGGACAACACGGTACGCACATTCCCATCAGCACTTTTCTTACCAGCTATCGGAATCGGGTTAACCTCGGGGAATAGAACAAATTCATTTGAAAAAAAGTTGTGAACAGAGGCTTAGCAATGCGCCGAGGTTAGTGGTAGAGGGAGCTGGTTAGCCGTCACTGTAAAAATGCTTAAAAAGAAGAATATTTTGTGTGGGAGGATGCAAAACTGATGAAAGCCCAAATTTTTGAGTGTGAGGTTCGTTTTGCCTTGATTGTAGGTCGAAATATTCGAGAACAAATGTGCTACTTACATTGTGTCAGTAAAAAGGCAAAGACAAAATAAGGAAACCGGAATGGCCATTTCTGGCGTAGTCAGACGCTCCAAACCCCAGGCTATAATCACCTGCGTGGGCGCTAGACCGGGACACAAAAACAAAACGGAAGTACTACTAATTTCAGTCCTTTAATCAGGAAACTAACATGGACGGTCTCTATACGATACTGATTGGAATACTTATCGGAATTCGGGGAGCAGAGGTTCGCAATCAGCCAATTGATTGAAAGATATTTGCTAAGTACGAAAACGAAGGATTACTCCGCAAACAAGAAAAGGTAAATCGACTAAAACAGGAACGTTCTGGCTCAGGTGGCTAGGGCGCCTACGAAGGAAAGCCTAGGAGGGCATATAAGGCCAGGAAAAAACAGAAGGGAAAATGCAGCAACATAAAACCACGACCACCAAGAGTAAGCCGCATTGAGTAACGCCGTTTGATGTACTCTGTGGTCCTAACACACAAACAGGACAACAGCAGATGATGGGACATCTTCCTCATCAAAAAGATTGCAATGTGCCCGGCAGCTGTTCGGTCAGCCTCCCCTCCCGCACGGTTCTGAATGCTGGACTGTGCGTGAGGAGGGACTGCAGGTGTCTGACCATCGTTTGAGTGAAGTACAACGTCCTCGCATCGAATACCACAAACCGAATTGGCTGCGGTAACATCCGGGAAAAAACAACTGAGGTGGTTCCGGACGTCACTGCGCATCCGGAGGCGTCGAAAAGGTCAGGTCAGATCCGGCACAACTCAGTCCGTGAAGACGTAGGGGTAGTTCTCGGACCTTCGGTATTCGGCCTCTGCCATTGGAGATAGTGGGTCGCGCGATTTAGCTCTGTTGCCACAGATGAGCGCACGCGGAAAAGTATAATCCGCCATGCCGCTGGGGCCGGCCAAATCAGGCATGGTTACAGCCGTACCATGTACAGGTAAGAAAGTACAAGAGTAGACGCCAGTGTAGGCACATTCCTAAATCATAAGCCGTTTTCCCCAGCAAGCAGCTCAGGGTGGAACTCGGATCAAGTGCCTTAGGAGGCAAGCTTGAGTGTAGACAATATAATGTGTCTTTGGAGGTAAGCTTCGATCGATTTGAGTGGTAAATGGGCTGATTTTGAAGGGCATGGATAAAGTAAAACACGAGCTTGCAGTGACATGCGACTGAGATAGACAATAGTAAGAACCGGAGATGGTAGCGCAACGTCCTCCGACGTACTATTCCTTCTAGTGACATCGACAAAATTTAGGCACAGGATTCAAAAGACGCGGGAAGTGCCCGGACTTCTTGGGATTCTAATCAGCATCAACTAAGCCGACTCTCACACCCGATCGTGCAAGACGCTACTACTGCAGCATTTATAGTTAGCCTCATAGTTAGAAACAACACACCGAAGATCAGACGTCTTCCTTAATGGCGTCTGTCTACGCCAGCAATCGTCCAGTTCGCCTACGACTTCGTAAGGACAAGAGGGGCGCAAAAGGCAGTCGAGTTGAGCTTGTCTGGTATACTGAAATAGCACTACTAAGCAAACGAGTATACAGAGTACTGAATTATTGTCTGAACTGGAGTCGGGGGTAATGCCCCATTGATCAGGGAATCAAGTGAGAAAACCGAAGGTACAAGTTAACGTCGCTGGCTCAAGGCCAGTATGCTACAATGGACTTACAAAACAACGGCGGGAATCTCAAAAGGTGCATTCCGCAAACAATATGTTCCAGAAAACTTTGTAAAGGAATGGAAATACACCACAGTAAGTTGAAACGGAAAGGTATCCGCACGATGGTTCTTGAGTTCACTGAATATAAAATAGCCATCTCCACACAAGTCCCCAGGAGAATGCAACTATAGACACAGTCAACAGCTCACACGAGCAGTAACCAGGTAAAAACATTTGGGAATAAAGGTTAGAAAGTTCACCGCATAGATCTCGCAGACTCACCGCTTCCACTTGGGATCTGTGCTTCTCCACGAGCCCCACTGTCCGTTTGTAGGCCTTAGCGATCATGTCGCGAACATCCTCGTCAATCATTTGCGCCGTTTGCTCCGAGTAGGGCTTGGTTAGAGCCATGTCGCCCTGCTGGGGTAGGTCAAAGCTGACGTTGCCGATTCGCGGACTGAAACCCAACTGCACTATTTGGGCATAGGCGCTGCGAGTGACACGCTGTAGGTCGTCCATTGCACCACTGCCCACTTTGCCGAAAAAGACCTGCTCACTGGCACGACCGCCTAGCGCCAGACACATCTCGTCTAGCAGTTGCTCCTGGGTGTGCAAGTAGGCATCCCGTGGTTGGTACTGCGCGTAGCCCAGGGCCTTGCCTCGAGGGATAATGGAGACCTTGAGAAGGGGGTTGCAGTGCTCGAGAAACCAACCGACCACCGCGTGGCCCGCCTCGTGGTAAGCCACAGTCTTCTTCTCTTCCGGCTGGAGGACCTGTGGAATGCACGGTGGAATGCGAAAAATGGGTCGGTGACAGTGGCGCTCAGAATCCGTTTTTGAATATTATGAAGGGTGTGCTTGCTCTAGTCACGTCTTATCGATCGTGCTTGAACCCTCACAATCAGCAACCAGTATGTATGGTTCTGATTTCGCTTGGTAGGACGACTAAACAGTAACACTGAATGGTACCTCGACGGGCGTCCTTCAGAAGGGCAAGCAGGGTCCGCCGATAAGCAGTAGCCGCGCGATACGACTGGTAGGAATTCAGCCTATCGACTGGTCCACCAATGGACCCCCTTGAGAGCTTTCCGACGCCCGCTAAAATCTGGTATGCGTAGGCGTGGTAGTTTTTCTCTGCAAGTTGACATGGGTCCTGCAAGACTTTTGCATAGTTTGTGAAACATAGGCTGGCGGCAAACACCTAGTCGTGCTCCAAACCCATTTTGAAAGCGGCGGCTGCTGGTTTCAGTCTAGTGGTAATATGAGCCCAAATGACCCTCCGCCCAGCTCTCTTTTGGTGGAGGTAAAGGGTTCGAGAGCAGTGCAGTCTGGAATAGTGGGTTCCGGTCATCAAATGTCACTTTTTATGGTAGACCCCGAATGCTCATCAGTCTAAGGGGGTCTGAAGTGTCCAAAGAGATTATTCATTTCGTTATTGAAGCATTTTGGCACCCTAAACTTGGTTGAATTAGCTTCACTCGGAATTTTATGAACGTCAAATGTTTCTGATATAATGTATGCGCAGAAGGGCTTATACCTGACTCTTCTTCTCCAGGCCGGCAATGACACGGTCGATGGCACTGTCGAAGTGAGTAAGCTCGACCGACTTGGCATCGAGGCGAGCGGCGATAAGGGCCGCCTCGTTGCAAACGCTGGCGATATCGGCGCCGGAGAAGCCGGGGGTGCGAGTGGCCATGCGGCGAGCCAGCTGAACCTTGTCCAGGGAGGACTTCAGAGGTTTCAAGTGTACCTGAACAAGAGGGCTTAAATGACTAATCGTGAGCATCGCAGAATCCCAAAGGAAAACGTTAATTCAGAGTGGGGCTCGTTGGCTTACATCTGTGGCCACTGGTAGGGATGGGCGCGTGCGTGCAGTGCCTAGACTCCTATGTCAAAGACGTGTAAGCGGGAAAGGAATAGAGTTTGTGGATAAATGAGTGCATTTGCGCAGAGTTATGAACCACTACCAACGATATGCTAGCTGCGGCTCATCACACTGCAACTCGACAGTCGATCTCGACTATGTTCGTCGTGTGCTCCACAGCAAGGTGAGAGCAGACACCTGGGCGGACCACCATACACCCTGGTCCACAACAAGAACTTGACCGGAATTCTAGACACAAACTAGAAGAGTGGAGGGAGGGGGACGGCTTAGATACCACAGAATGGGAGTGCGATAAAGGCTACATTACGAAAGAGCATTGCAGTCTGACACCCAGGCCACCAGTCGGCCGCTACACACAAACACGCACTGGGCCGACTGAGAGGTCTAAGTTATCCTGTCGGATGGTAACATTCCAACCACGGCTTTTAGCGCACCGTGATAGCTTAAAACGCGTCAGATTGTTTATAGTGAGGAAAATGTGCTGAGTCGCCGACCTCACTCTCCCTTCCCATTCCCAGGCCCCAGCCACCGCCCGAGCCGTTCAGTTGACTGGTGCGGGGAATGGGTGCAGCGGCTGACGTAGTCTAGTGACCTTGTATGTCTGCGCGCGACGAATACACGGCCTGCCCCCCCCCCCCCCCAAACAGAAGCACCAGGATTTCACACAAGGGGGGTTTGACGGCGTACATCTTACATGCGTGAGGGTGCTGTAGGTCACGTTAAGTAGGAGCCGCTTCGGCCTGGCTCTCAGCCAACCGGTCCGCATCTCCACACATACCCACATACACACAACTGGGCAGACTGGACGGACTGATTTGGGGCGTCACTCGGCAACCTTCCAGGCCACGGCACTTGGCACGCCGTGATGGTGTCAGGCTCAGATATCACATGCAGCAGAGGAGCCACATGGACCACCCATACACTTTTCATGCCTAACAGGCTTGATGTCAGTACCCTAGATCAGTCAATGTGGGCAAGCGTTTGAGAAGGGGCAGGAAGGAATCTGCCTGGAAATCTTGATTTTCCAAGGAAGATGACGAAGAATCAGCACCCCTGAGCCTGTGCTGCATTAGAGGTTACAGTTGGGACGCGGGGAGTTCGCATCGATTAGCAGTACTCTAAACCACACTGTACAGCAATCTCCCAAAAATGCATTTTGTGTAAGTTTCAATGCTGAAATTCATAGTACATGCTTCCCTGACGCACGAAATAGGCAATTCGTCGAATTTATGAGTTCTGAGATGCCTAAATCCCAAGAGCTGAAGGGGACAAGAAAAAGAGCGTTGGATAACGGATAACTTGAAGTGAAAAAGTCCGATTTACGCCCGAATTACGAGAGAGTTCTTGCCTGCCTCGAATATAATGAGCACATCCAATGGTGGCTTTGTGGAAATTCTGATGGCAAAACGACCAGGCGGTAGGCGCTGGTGAGAAAATTGACACCAAACTGAATATTTCCTTTGAGGCAGTTGTGTGATCAAAATCCTGCTTGTTTTGACATTTATGGGCACGCCCATAAGATAATTGCCTTGGGGCGGTAACAAAATAACTGAACGGTAGGAATGGAAGGCAGAGGCAAAAGAGGGATTTTCACGACTAACCTAAATGATTAAGTGGACGGCAAGATACCGGCGATAGAACCTGAAGGACTACCATGTCTGCAAGAGGGGCAGCAATGATTTAAGCTGGAGTATTCCCCCCCTCGAAACAGGGGCAATAGCTGAGCGCCTAAAACTCGCAGTTGACGGTCACCGGTTAGCCAGAGGGAGTAGAGTTCGGTGGTGTGAGCACCCCCGGGGACAGTGCAACTCTACTTAACGCTGCGCGCTCAAGCGAGCACGACAGAAATTACTGGGGGTTGTTAACCAGTCGATCTTGATTGACGACGAGCAGTTAACAATATCAGAGAGCGCAAGCTGCCATTTCCGCAAAAATGGGTTTTAAGTGGTTGGTTGAGAAACGGCTGCCGAAATGCGTATAAACCGAATCCTGCTGCAGGTAAGAAATAGATGGGGAGGTGTCATGGCCGGTAACAGTTACGTATTGGACACAAACGAAGATGCGAATTCCAGAAACTAATAGATCAGAAGAAGAACCGATCGCTGGAACAAGACGTTTCGGATTCTCACGTGAACCCATCATTCAGAGACAGTGGCACTGATGATGGATTCAAGCGAGAATCCGAAACGTCAGGCGAATAAAGCCCGTGTTCCAGCTTCGTATCCTAATCAGTTACTTAATCCTCACAGTATATTCTACTTAAACCAAAAATGTCACAGTTACAGGACAACTTCGGTGACTCTTCGGATAGGTTGACGGCTCGATCTACCTCAAGTAAAGGACCTGCTATAGCCCTCGATGGTGACGTTTCAACTAATACTGCCCAGGAAGAACAACTACATGTATCTGTTTGGTTCTTATTAGCCACTAAGATTCCTCCCTCCAGTGTGTTGTCACTGACCGTTAGCAAATATGAAAACGAGGCCTGAAGCAAGGTGCCCAAAATGGTGGCGCAATTGATAGTCGACATTCGCGGACGTAACTCAGGAAACATGCGCTGGCAGTCTCAGCCCCGCATGCGCACTTTTTTGAAGCCCTTGAGTCGGAAGTATTGGCTTTTGGCCTGTTGAGCTTTCCTATGAACGTTGCGTTGAAGACTTAGTTAATAGCGACAGCTGCGTTCATCGACCCTGTTGGATTACAAGAAGGGGTTAACTGACTCTGATTTCTACTTGCTGCCCCCCCCCCGCTGTGGCAAACAATGACGGTACGATGCGGTGTGCTTGAGCGGTCAGTTTCATCTCGACCGCGGCCAACGGCAAATAATGCCCCTAAGTAGAGTTGGCATATGCAGTAGGGTAAGCGGGTCATGTGAATGAACGTCAGCCATCCACACGAACCGAATGAGACGGACTGGCTCCGTAGTTCATAAGTTGGGGCATTGGAATACGCCCCCCCATCTCTAGGGCGGTTGAGCTGGTTCACGATAGTAAATAAGCCTGAGGTGCGCCAAAGTGTGGGGGGGGGGAGGGGAAGGGGGAGATTCGAAGAGGAAAAATAGCGGTTTAGAATACGCTTTCGGACTGGATTTTCAGTCCATCATACGCGAGCCTTTCAGGAATGTAAATCAGTGCTCTGGCACCGACATGCTGACGACACTCACATAACAATCAAGAGAAGTATGGTACGCAAGTCAGTGGGCAACCGAGACACGAAGTGGAAACGATTTGGTAGAGGATAGAACACAGACCTTCGTGCTTTACACTGACCATCACTCGCACACAAAAGTCGAGCGAGTCCTGCACACGCAAACACGCACGTCCTTCAAAACGCTATTTACGGGACGGACAATTACCAAGAGCCTACGATCCCAGCGGAGGAAAGCATGGCATGACAGTGACGACAGAACCTCAGACACGGCACGCGGTGTGTCGTATCCCTGGCTACGCGCATCGCCATCCGAATGTTGACCGGTACTTTCATAAATAACTACTTAGCCTCCCTTTATAGTTCAGCCCCTAGGCCTCAAGTGTTTAATAAAGCGGTCTGTGAAGATTCCAAATTCCCAGATTCATTTTGAAATTCAAAATCAAGGCTCCCTATCTTTGGTTGACTACTTCAGTCGTTTGACGTCCGGACTGGAAACCGGTAGTTACTGCTTCCTGATTGTATTTTCCGTCAAGACAGTTCTACGCGAACGATTGGATGTCTTAAATAGGCCCAGCGGAGATGGTCACGCCGATGTGCCCGTCTCTTTAGATCCCTTTCGTACATGACAGAAATTAAATCCTTAAATAATTTTGCGGCCGTACGGGTCCCTTCGGTCTATTTCCTGATACCGATGCGCTTGTGGCTGGCTCGAAATCTTCCTGACTCTCGGGATTTTTTTATTCAGTGATGAGTCCACAGTTAGATACCTCCGCCTTAGAGAAGACTGTTTTAATTTGGTCCATCAATCTTTGATTTCACCCACCCCCCTAACCGGCGTGGTAATTTTGCTGTAGTCCAGTTCAGACGACATGTAGATTTCATGATAGAAAATTTTACACGCGGTCTGCTGCGACCATTCGCCTCAAAACACTAGTTTAGTCTATGGTGGAGTGCGGATCAGTTCTTTTTGGCCTGATCGCACCCGTGATCGCGAAAAATTAGAGCCTGTCCAAAGATTTTTCACGCAAAAAAACAGTATATGGTGAAGGATTAGTTATCTCGTATCTTAATCGCTGTACACACTTGTGGCCACGATAATTTTGTATTCGCGGATTTAGATTAATTTGGATTTTTCTCTAGCGGCTAGGTCATGGCGCTACATACATGGCCTTAGCCCACCTTAAGTTCGTTGATATGATAGGAAAGCACTGAAGAAGCGCGTAAACACTTCTAAAAATTTGAGCAAATACAAATACTGCGATTAATTCACAGTCGGTATCGCCCCCTCCGATTACCTGCCACTAAATATTTCCTAGCTGGAAGTCCCCCAGAGGGTCCTTGGCAGATTCATTCGGTCAGACCAGTTTCATCGTGTTTGCCGTGTCATTTGGATAGAACTCTTGTTTCTGAACGAGAGACCTCAAATCGGAGTAGGCATTTAAATGCTGCCACTTCCCGGCTTGCTGCGCCACTTGGATCGAGTCAAAAATCCGAAAGTTCGAATGCTCAACCTCCCTTCCTCCCTCCCTCTGAGTCGGCCTACCGGATCCTTTTACCATCCATCTCGCCGCAAACCTTTCTGGATGGCGCAGCAGTAACCGGAACTAACAGGCCTGTAAACATTACCCCACGGGAGTTTCATCTTCACTGGACGCGCGCACTTCGCACTTGGCTTGTAGTCAGTTGTCCGTTCGTCGTATGCTCGAGGCCCGGCAGCCAGTGTTAAAATCCTTGGCTAACACTGTGTAAACGCGGCGATTTGGGCGCTCGAGAGAAAGGTGCTAAAGGCTACGGTCAGGCAGGGTGAGCTAAATACACTGACGCGCTAAGTTTCCCATCCGGCGTAATCAAAGGAGCACGACTTGGGACCTCTCTGGGTAGAGGAAACAAGCTGAGGACTCAGTGAGACTGGTGATACTCGAGAGTGGGACTCACCTTAAATATAGAGGCTCGACCCTTGATGTCGGGTAGGGAGACGTAGATTTGACGGTCAAAGCGGCCCGGACGCAGGAGAGCCGGGTCGAGGATGTCAATGCGATTCGTGGCAGACAGAACCACCACGTTTTCCTGAGTTGTAAACCCTTTTGGTGGCGACAGCAGCAGCAACAGTGACGGAAGAGGTAAAGAAACAAAGAGGGGGGACGCAAGATAAACAAAAATGGAGGATGTGTACCAGGGGAGGACAATCTAGCTGAAAGGAGTTCGAGATTCCTACCTCCCCCAGATCGCAGCGTTAACTTAAAATTTTTCGACCGTGGCTATAAGTGACCGTAAAAGAATTAAGATTGGAGTGCTTGCTTTTCTGCCACAACCTACAGTGAGTGACCGATCTCATGAAATGTTGGCTGAAATTCTGAAATGCGTTTTCGGTTAGGAAGGATTACTTGATCGCGGTTGTAATATTTATTATCTTAAGGCATACTCTTATAACATTTCGGACTCGGCAGGATGTCGGCTTTTAAATGCACTCCTTTTCACTCTTCTGTAGAAAGCGTGCTCGGTAAAAAAATGACTATTTAAGTAGCATGCATTTTTCCCATTGATTTTCGATGGTCTTGCAAATTCAAATATATTTTATAGAAACCATAAACAAAAATATGCTTTCTTTAAGTCACTCAATAGAGAATCACGTCTTTTTTATATTTTATACTTGAGGAAGGAGTATAATTAGGTTTTAAAAAAGTTTTCTAATTACCGAATAATTTGGAGCCTGATCATTCGTTGCATTAGCGCTTACTGATTACAGTCTACAAGGAGCATGCGTTTCGCGTAAAGAAAATCACATATTTTTCTATGCCATTAGAAAGATACCATGTGGAATCCATAAAATTTTGCAATGGATGCGGACCATGTTGTACATTTCATGAGGAGCAGTGGTAAACGTCCACGTACGATGCTATGTGAATGGACATTTCGCGGTCTTAAAAAATCTCATAATTAGAAACTTCTTAAAACCCAATTGTACTCCTTCCTTAAGCATCAAATATAAAGAAGACATGATCCTTTATTGATTGAGTAAAATAAAGCATATTTTTGTTTGTGGTTTCTATAAAATATATTTGAATTTGCAAGACCATCGAAAATCAATGGGAAAAATGCATGCTACTTAAGTAGTCATTTTTTACCGAGCACGCTTTCTACAGGAGATTGAAAAGAATAGCATTTAAAAGCCGACATCCTGCCGAGTCCGAAATGTTATAAGAGTATGCCTTAAGATAATAAATATTACAACCGCGATCAAGTAATCCTTCCTAACCGAAAACGCATTTCAGAATTTCAGCCAACATTTCATGAGATCGGTCACTCACTGTAAGTACTGTGTACCTAAAGTAGAATTCAACGGTGACCGGTATAGGGTGGGGACTCTGCCGTAAATAGTTACATGGAAGAGTTGATGCCGGCGCATTTCAAGAACTCCCTACCTTCCCAGATTCCGACTATCTGGTTTTTCGGCTCAAAGTCAATTGACCACAAACTCACCAGTCGGTTTGCCTGTGAAGCAGACTATGGACGCTGACAGTTGCCGCGACACTGCTCAGGAGGCGCTCAAGAAACCTCCAACGTTACCATTAACATATTCAGCGTAGAAATACCAAGCACCATATTGTCGCTGTGGGGCTGAGAACACGAGACAAAAGGGGGGTCCTCTTCTTTACGTGCTGTGGAGCTTACAGGTTCGAAATGCCTATTCTTCACTAAACTGAAATAGCCGGACTCTCAGGGCCTGAGCAAATGCGCCATGCTGGTCTACTCACAATGTCATTGTGAAGCCTTAAGTATGAGACATCTGTGAAAGAAAATTGCGGTGGAAGGTTTTCCACGGGTGCGCTTTTAGAACATTTTCAAAGAATGAGGACTGCCGCCTTGGTGGCACACGGGGATGGTTAACGGAAAACCATATTGCCGAAAATAGGCTACGGAAAATTAAAAAAAAACAGTACAACCCACACTACTGAAGCCAGAAGAATTGGCCCAGGCATGTGAAGAGTCAATCGTGTGCGAGTGGGAGAGGACGACCAATCAGAGAGAAGATTACGAGAGCATCATGGTCGACCGGATGGTGAGGGCGGAGGACCGCTTGGGTCTCCCCTTCCCCGCCAGGACCGTCAACATAGCCACTCAGGTCTCATCACGCTAGTACGTCCCTGTTCGCACACGCCTAACTTCCAGGCAAACTACTGATAACACGAGTAGGTACTGATGAAGCATGCTGTGAGCATACCGTCCATTTCCACGAGCAGTTGGTTGAGGGTGTTCTCGCGTTCCTGGTGACCGAACGAGGAGCCTGAGCGTTTGCCACCGATGGCGTCGATCTCGTCGATGAAGAGGATACAGGGCGCCTTTGCACGGGCCTGAGAGAACATGTCGCGCACACGTTTCGGACCTACACCGACGAACATTTCGAGGAACTCGCTGCCCGAGACAGAGAGGAAGGGTACGTTGGCTTCGCCAGCGGTGGCTTTGGCCAGCAGAGTCTTTCCAGTACCGGGCGGGCCCTTTGTGGACATAAGACAGATACATACGTCTTTATGGAGGGAAGAAGGGCATATGCAAGAGGTTAGAGTAGGTGAGAACTGCGGTGAATAAGGGAAAGACAATTACAACGTCTCCTAACCGAATCATCCGCGTCTGCGTCGCCGAAAGCGAACGCAACACAGAGAGAGAGAGTCTGACTGTCGCGAGCGATGACTTCCACGGTGTGCCCCACGGAGTGTGCGCAGTTGCGGTGACTGGCGTAGCACCTACCGCACTCTCTCTCTCTCTCTCTCCCCTCGACAAGCAGGTTCCGCCGATGGAAAGACAATGTCAAGACGACCGGAGGTGGACTCGGCCAACAGTAGTGTAGACAAAAGCCCACAAGGGCTTGGGGTTTATTTTTACTAAACAGATGGCGGCAGATGCTGCGTAAGTCTACTCTCACTATAAACTAATTCACACGCAAGTCACTGTCTCTGCTCTTATCCTGCCGTGGAGCACACGGTTGACGCCAACGAAACCGACGGCCGGACTGTCATAGATGAAGAGCAAACATACCCATAACATGATTTGGTAAGTTGCCTTCGACAAGTTTGCACACGGCTGGAATGTACAAAACAGGAGTGGTCAGCTCGTCGAGTACGAGCAATTTTAGAAGTTGTCTGTATGGGTCGGCGGTGGGGGAAACATGTCAAGGTGTGTGGATAACTGTGACCAATTATCCTGCGTTTGACTGCTGATAGGCACTTGACTAATTAGTCATTTAATTGGTACTTTGGGAGCTTTTGAATAATTCATTTTGACACAACTATGACAAAACTCGGCGACCCCAGTGTGATTCGAACCCATTAAAGCAAGGACAAGGCTTGAGTACATTCATAGATCCAGCCACCGGAGCCCTGAGCTTAATCACGTTTGGGTCAAGTTACCCGCTCAGCCCACTGCAAACTATGGAATCCACTAAATCTGGCACAGTAAGCTGACTGACCAAGCAGGCTTTTTGAGGTAATTAATCTAGAATCCACCAGAGGGCTACAAGGCTCACTTAGTGGGTGTAGGGTAGCTTGGCTGAGTAGGGTTAAGGGGATGGGAAATAACCTGAAGCAGGGCAGCCGGGCTCTAGCCTAGTTCCCGTAATATACACAAACACAGGGCGAAGGAATACGAACGTGACACTCACTTGTTTTAGTTGGAATCTTACTCGATCCTATTCTACCAGCCCGCCAGCCGGGCTGCTGGCGATCGGGCAAGATTCTGACTACAATCCGATGTCACGTGCCCACTCCTTTGGTGAGTTCGTCAATGGCGCTCAGCGATCGCGTTACGGCACTTAGTCGTTCAGCTGTGCCTTTGGGCTCAATCTAGGGCCCCGAAAGCAGTTGCACAACGACTAGCTATATAAGCGGAAGGGGGTTACCGATAAAAACAAGGGCGAGCGCCTGCGGGGTTCTAGATCAAGCCCCAACGAGCGGGTCTACCGGCGCGGTTGATGGGCAACCTCTAATCTTAGATACGCGATGGCGACTGCATGAACGAGCCCGTGGCTCAATGGTTAAAAGCGTTAGACTACTAACCAAAGGAGTCTGGGATTGAACCTCGGATGCCCCCAAACGTAGGATTGGATATGATTGGCTAACGACGGTTAGTAAGCCAGAAATGGTCATTCCAGTTTCCCTTGTCTTTGCTGGTAATATCGTTCTGCTCATAATATTAGCTGTTGAGCGGCTACTGGTTAGGTTCGACGCTAAGCCCCAAGACATAACGGGACTAGCATGTCTCGCAACGCGACCGGTGAGCATTCCACTGTCATTTTTAACATACCCGATTGCAACCGATAGAACAACGAGCCCGTGGCTCAATGGTTAGGGCGTTGGACATCTAACAAACAGGTCGCAGGTTTGAGCCTCGGGGGTTGCAGAAATCCGGGATTGGGTATTGCTGGCTGATGGCGGCTAATAAGCCAGTAGGGGCTTTCTCAGTCTGCTTTGTCTCTGTCGGTGGTATCATTATCCCAGATGGGGGAGGGGGGGGGATGCGGTAGATTCTGTGCAAGCCTGCTATCCTTGCTCCCGCCCTGCTGTGGAGCACTCAATGGACAGCATCGAAAACAACGGTCTGGGGCTTGAGGCCCCATCGTAAGAAAGCAGACCTAGGAGGAGGGTGTCGGGCATAGCTAGCCAAGAATCCTGTCGTTAACTATCGGGTATCCGGTTTTTATTACAATACTATGCTGATATTTGGACGGAAACGTAGAATCTAGCGGACATTTAAAGCAATGCCCATATTATAATTAGTATTTCTACTCAGTAGCTATCAAAGACAGCAAACCTGCAACAGGCGAGTCGCCAATAACAACGCTCAGGCGGGGGGAGCCGAACCAAGACATACCTTGAGGATGGCACCACGAGGAATTTTGGCACCCAGGGCCTCGTAGCGAGCGGGGTTCTTTAGGAAGTTGACAAATTCAATAATCTCCATCTTGGCCTCCTCACAGCCAGCCACGTCAGCGAAGCTCACGCCAATCTTGTCGCGTTCGATTAGACGGACTGGGGACTGGCCAAAGTTGAAGAGACTCGAGCCCATTCCCGGCTTTCGGGGGGAGGGGGGGGAATATATCTTTATTGACAACCACGCATATTAGAAATGAAAGGGCATATGGCTGGGAAGACACAGGAATCAGCTAGTATAATGGCAAGTAGGGAATTTTGCATGTAGGCCTGCAACGACATTCTTTACGCCGACTAACAAAAGACTGCTGCAGGTTGCCATGCAACAGCAGGCATGCACAAAAATTGGCAAAGGTATAAGATGATCCATAAAATCTTTGGAAACCGTAAACACATACACATTCGGGGCAGACTAAAATGCCGGCGGTTCAAGTTCACTTTGAGGCACTATTTCTGGTTACATAATTAGCCAAAGAACAAAGAACACACTCTGGACACCGGACTGGATTAGAAACAGGGCCGAGTCACCTCAGAACGGGCCCAATAAGCTGTCAGCTTAGGAAGTGACATTGCGTCTACTTCTGTGAGTGTTTAGGCCACTACTCGCAAAAAATGAGTAGTTTAAACTGAGCTCCTACAAATACAAACGTCTAAGGGAAGTTGTCAAGAAACTGCGAGTTTATGTGAACTCCACAGACAAGACGGTGTGCGGCCTGTGTCTGGTGGCAACTCAACCACGCGGCAGTTCGGGCTCATGGTGAGAATCGAAGAAGCTGGCAAAGATGGGAACAACGACATATGACGGACAAAGTAACGAGAGGGGAAGTGATGCAGCGACGTTAAAGTGGACTGGGGGAAGGCAAGACAAAATTCAGACATGAGTTGCCGTTACCTTACGCACAACACCACCGGCTGTCGAGCGGAAGGAGTAGAAGGCAGCGCCAATAAGGGCCAAGTAGAAGCCCATGTACAAGAAATCAGACCTAGGAGAATGAAATAGAACAAACCCATGTGAAACCTATGTGATATGACTGTGTGATGCGAGCGTGATCGAATTTTGTTGCAACGCCTGCAGGATAGGCCAGGCAAGAACAAACATGTACGGCTTTTAATGATCTAACTGCCCGTAGGAAAGTGTGATAAGAAGTTATGTGTATGATCCCACAAACACTTGCTAACCGAATAAAGTACATCCAAATACGTAGAAAAATCGAGTCTAGAACGGCGCTGCTAATCCGGAATCATGCTGTTTGATTTTTGAAATTTAGCCATGGAAGTCGGGGTTTACACCAACGTTGTGAGAGAAATATGTCAGGCACGAAATTGCATAACTACACGACTACCATGCAAAATATGGTTGACTGCCAACCTAACTCGTTTTACTAGCTGATCTTTTGAGACGTTGGAGGCAATTTGACATTCTTAACCACACCAGGTCTTGGGTCTAAAACACGAGCGAAAAATCGATAAACATCAAGAAGATAAGGCTAACTTTTCTTCCGATAACCAGCAAGGAGGAGGAGGACACAAGCAATATAGCTGATTGGAGCACTGAGGGGACAGAGGACAGATGTAAAAGGAGAAAGCCAGAGCAAGACGTACGTTCTCATTTTGGACTTGTAATTAATGGAGACGCGGTTCATTGGTTCTACACCCAGGCTAGTCTCCAGTTCACGCAGACTGCGTTCAAAGGTGTCCACCGCGCCGATCTCAAACCAGTAGATTACCTCGGCGGGACCGTCACGCGTGGGTAGGCTACTGCCAGTAGTCACTGGACTATCAAAGTTCTGCATGGAGTCTAGCGAGGTGGCGGTTCCACTTGGCTGTAGGTAGACACGAACCCACTCTTTATTTATCACCTCCAGGTGGTGGATCCGGCCCCTAAAGTTAAAGGAATTACGTTTGGAATTGTCGCAAGGTAATAAATATATTGCAGGCATGATGATAATTAAAATCGGCAGTTGGACACTGCGACGTAAGACAATTCGGGAACGCCGCATGGACAAGTTGGTGGGGGTATTATTAACTTCGACAGTCAAGTGGTGTTTTAAACTATCAGGCTATGCGAACAAAAAGACACAGGCTTGGTCTAAGGGATTGAAGTTGTAACCTGTCCACTGTTTCTCTCAGGCGATTCCAGGCTGCGCGCGACTCTAGGACGAGGTCAAAACAGGCCGGATTCTCAGCTGGGCGTGGATGTGCAGACTAGATATTCACACTTTGGCGTATCCTTGAATTCCGCCATTGTTGCCAACTACCAACAACAGTCTGCTTTGTTGACTTCGCCGCCGCGCCCGGTTCCGTCTATTGTGAATGCCTGTGGCGAATAATGGGATTAGATGGTGTACCGGACAAAGTCACCGCTGTGATCAAGGCCTACTACCATTCCACCACAGCGCGAGTTCTGGTGCATAACGATTCCTCCCAACCGTTTGATATTCGGTCTGGCATTCGACAAGGCTTTACCGTCGCCCATTCTGTTCAACTACACCATTGACTGGAATCTTGGGAAGTTTACGGTGTTGAGTTCACCCGGGACGGCTGCCGACCGATCTCGACTACGCTGGTGATATCGCCTTGCTAGCTTCAAGCTTTGGCGATCTAGAGTCTATGGTCTCACGGGTGAATGAGGTCGAGAAATCGGTCGGTCTATCCATAAACGCATGGAAGACCAATTTATTTCCAAACTGCACACTTGACCGAGAAGATCGGGTTTTCTCAGGCCTTAGAAAGTGTCTATGGGCCAAACGTGAGATCTCCATCGCCACAAGATCCGCGTGCACCGTGTATCCGTCCGACCAGTTCTTCTCTAATGGTTAAGAATGTTGGGTTTTGCGTGGGAGATGAGCGAAGACTGGAGGCATTTGGCCACTATGGCTTGGAGACTGTACTTCGAGCGAAGTACACCGAATTCATCTCTAATGAGACAGCTCGCACTCCTCGCGACAACATCGCAAGAAAGACGACTGAAGTGGTTTGGGCATGTTTTTGTCGTTCAGCTCACGAGCTCAGTATTGCTGCTTTCGACTTGGCAGCGTTACCCACTTGGAGGCGTTTAAGGAGGGATCAACTCAAAACCTGGCTTGACACAGTCCGTCAAAACATGGAAGCGGTTCTTCGGACTTCGGTATTCGGTAACGGTAGCTGGCGAAGGGGATGATTTGAGCTGTCCAGACCTGCTGCAGCGGATAGTCAAGCGTGGAGGGATACAGTTCGTGACGTCGTCGAGGCCGGCGGGAGCAGGCATGGTCGCAACCGTACTAGGTACAAGCACTCTCCACTGTGTCCGACAAGAAAGGATGAAGAATGCCTATGACAATTTTCGGTGCAATGTGATGTATAATTTCTGCTGAAGTTGAAAATGATGGAAGGGGTGAACACAACATACATTTTCAAAGGGATGAGAAGGAGGTGAGCTCTCGAGCACGAAAAGGAGCACAAAATATCTATCATGACGGCACACCGACAGCTCCACTGAGAAGCATGGCATACTTATTACAAAGACGGGAAGTCCACAGAGGCACTAAGCAACGGAATACTTTCATATGAAAACGTCTGCGCTGATCTGTATTTCTGGAGTAAGTTAAAAGACAAAAAGTAAACAAGCTCGTTTGAGTCCTAGGTCTGGCAGTTATCATGAAATATTATAATAACCCTGACTGAAAATATGTATTCGGCATGAGAGGTTTCCAGGTTATCTAGAAGCAATTAAAAATTCCTGGGTGACAATCACATCGATCAAGACGGCGGTCCAGCCTGCGCGCATTCAGCAATGAGATGACAAACAGCTCTCCTTGATTGGTGTAATTAGTTCAACTTTTACTGATACCTTAAACGGGAATAGAGAAATGAGGATAACAAAAGACAGAAGATGAATGCAGACCTACTTTTGCAGGAAGTTTTCGGAAAATTCCTTCCACGAGATCTTCTGATAACGCGAGGCATTATAAACTGCGAGTGCGCCCGCACCGATGGCTGCGACGATTATCCAGGGGCCAACATTCCAACCTCCCTGGGTTCCCTTACCAGACTGATTTCCCCCACCGCCTCCGAAGGTAAATTGAAATTCGATTTTTGCTGGAATGTTCGAGTAGTTTCAATGGGGACAACAAAAAAATAACATACGAGAACTAGGCTTCTTAGCAGATGAGTTGGCCGACTGCTTGGACGGCTCCGTTTTTGACTCCTGCTTACCCTCTGCAAACTTTAGGAGCAGAGAGGGTCGACGTGAAAGATATCGTTGGATTTTTTGGGGAACTTGTATTGAGACACAGCGTCCACCCTAAAAGGTTTAAGTTGGCATATGGGGAACTTGGAGTTATCGGTGTCCACATGATCAAAGTTAATCTCTGTAGCGCGCTTGAGCGCCAAGGAATCAGCTACGTTTGTAATTAGGAAGAAATTGCAAAAGGGACGGGAAAACGCCTTAAAAGAGCCACAAGGTGGCACAACTGGTGTAGCACACGTCCTGCGTCGGTAGAACCGGAAATGTGGCTTGTCCTCACTCCATGTTTACTTGGTCAATATATACGTGCGTGGGAGGCCTTCAGTTGCTTGCCGAGGGAGTGACAGTGCGCGGAAGAGTGCTAGATTAGGGGTTTTTGTTACAAATATCCCAGAGATTGTCTACCCGAGTTTCCAATCAATCGAAAAAGCGCGATCTAGAATGCCGTGGCCGATATCGGCTGCAGCCGATCCCAGCCTTACTTAAGCTCTTGACGTAAACTTAATACCTTACCCCAATCCAAGAGATATCAATAGCCCTCAACCCAGCACCAAACCTAACTGAGCATGGAATTCGCCATAGCCGTGATTTTTTGCTGGTTGAGGCCGTTACAATAAAATGTCCGTTTAGGTGCCCAACGTCTACCATGAAAGTTGAACTGACAAAATAAGGCATAGGAGAGGCGGAGGGATCAAAAACAGATAAGAATGAAAATAGATGACTATCTCACATTCGCGGCGAAGATCCGCGGAAAACGACGAAGCAGTGAGCACCGTAACAGGGGCATCATGGTTCAAATGCCCTACCAAAGTCGCCTGCATACAAAAACAAGAAATTCGAGGTCAAATGCGATATTAAATTAGTCTGTGCAGGTATACGATCGTTCCCAGTATATTGCAATCGAGAATGTGCAACAGTATGTGTAAAAGTTTTCGAGGAAGTCTTCTGTAGTTCAAAGAGGCAATAGTGATGGGATGGTCTCTGCTGTGGACCATGATATTGTGCAGTGTATTAAAGACGCCCGGTTTTAGTTTTGATGACATTTGAAAGTTATTTTTAAAGGGATTATTCTAAAAAATAGTTTGAGTATTAAGTTTGTTGTCGGAAACAACCTCGTTTGCATACGCATTCTGTACTCACAAAATAAATAGTGACCTAGTGTGACTAAAACCCAGTCCGAATTCGTCTGTTTACGTTCAAGTTCCGACAGTCAGTAGACATTTTTTGAAAATGAATTCATTGTTAGTGATACGTCTTTTGCATTACTTAGCGTCTGCTGGAATCCAGTCATCAGTAATTTCCAAAGTGTTTACTGGTCTGCAGCTCAGTTAACATTTCTACATACTCTCTCACAAAAAGGCAGCAAATATAAGGGGATGTCGTAAGCTTTCTATCTTTATACCTGAGCAGTGGTTTAAGAAACCTAAATCCCAATTAATGGACATTAAAGTTCTGCTTGGTGTTGATATTAAACTGTTTGAGCTAGGTGCGTCAAACAACTGTGCCGATGTTATATTAGAGTATGGTTCATTTTTCACCATCCACAGTACAGGTTTTGGTGTAAATATATATTTACATCGAAAACGTATACTGTGGCGTATGTCTTTTACCCTATCTGGTGACCGTTAACGACTTGATTTTGTCGTCCTCATCGACTTTATTTTGAAAAGTATTCTTGGCTCTAGCCAATCAGTTGTGATATCAGTGACAGAATCTCATAGATGAAGGGGCTCTGTTCTTGTAGTAATAACCCACTTATTCTAGTCGGACGGTATTAGCTAGTTGGGGTTGATTCGATCTTTACTCATCGCGGATAAACTTCCGATTATTAAAAAAGAGAGGACTGTTTCCATGGGCATGGTTTTTAACCAGTGTAACGGAGACTTAGATCCTTCTTCTCAAGTAAGTGCCCTTCTGTAGTGGTTTACATATTCATCTCCACACTTTTTCACAATTTGATGGGGCAGAAGCGTCCTCTTCGGAATTCGTTAGTCGTGGTCATAACGAACGACAGAGTCTGCCGACAGCAGTTGCTCGCGATATGAATCTAATGGTTACCAGTTATGTCGCTCCTCTTCTACCGACTACCAACGGAACTATTTCGTAAGTCACCATGCGATAATTGACTGTTGCTTCTCTTTCCTGCTTTTGCGTAATCTAAGTTACACCAAATTCTGAGGGGCTTTTTAGCTCGTAGAGGTCGAATTAATCAACAACTGCGTTGAATCACTAAATTGATGCCGCTATCTGCGGTATTGATATCACCTTTACTCGTGACTTCAAGTCAGGTGTTACAAAAACATTCTAGATATCTTGACTGTAGACGTCTTAAATAGAATTCACCTGATTAAGCCTCTTTCCTTCAAACACCTTGAGAATGTTAACGACAAGTCCTTTGTTGGGAAATTCTTAAACTGACTCTAACTAAACGACCTTCGCCCGATGTACGAAGAAGACCCAATTTGCTCAGTGTTCTGGTTTCTTTGAGATCTGTTATACAAATATTCCTTCGTAGGTCCTCCACAGAAACAAATAAGTTTTAAATTGTGCGTCCCCCAAGAAGGAACGATCCCCCAAATGCACTTGTCGAAAACACAAATGACATTTCTTACTTGCTCAACCACATGCTCTCATTATCCCTTTCCGGAGCACTCACTCCTGAAACCTGCGGGGGGCATTGATCATATTTTCTTATTTTAATCTGATTTTCCGTCCGAAGTTAATAACTATCTTAGGATATCTAAAACACCATCCCAGTTCAGTCTTCGGAAAAAAAGACAAATAGAAATGGGGTTTGATTTCTGTCTAGCCACTCAGCTTCCCAGCTCTAGTCTACACGGCTTTCACCAGAAGGACCGTGGCATTCGCGCCTTCGGACGGCGAGTGCATTGTCAGCCAGATTCCTTGGTTATTTGATGAGTTGCAAATTCTTCTTCGGGTAAGAACGCCTACCGTTTGTCCACAACAACAGGTTCAGTAAGGATTTGTTGCCCAAGAGCAAATGACCAATAGATTGCATTAGTCAAAATGCGCAACCAGTTAAGGTATTGCTGGCTTTGCGGGCAAATTCCTGCCGTAGAAATGGTGCATGTATGTTTTGCGCGCTAGAACATTGGAGATCCAAATTCCGAAGTAATCTGTAATAGTTTTTATGTTCTATTTCAAAGTGAACGTCACTGAAGCTATTTTACAAATAACAAAGTTTCTAAATCTGAAAAGAAATGAAAACAAGTGGTGCCAGAAAGTATGTTATAGTCTAAAAAGTAGATGGATGAAAAGGAAAGCGTGTTCTGGGAACAGCCAGTCTATTCCCACAGTCGCTTCAAAAGACGCCTCACCTATTTGGGGCTCTGGGCGTCCTGGAACACTTCGGCGATTGGCGTACCAATCGTAAGGAGTATTCTATAACGCTCCGGTGTATGACGTGTTGATCGTGGATTGGCTGCTGCATGTGCGAAAACCCCCTCAATGAGAAGTCACGAATGTTAGATCGGCCACTGATTGGGCCACATGCGTGAGCAACGGCACCACACATACTCTATGCTGCAGTAAATGCTGCCTGGCCGCGTAATTTCAGGCGTGTATATCACTGGCAGTGTGGCCGATGGTTCTGTGCGTGGTCATGTCTTCCTTTCGCATTAGACCGTGATCCCACGTCGTTCCCGCTGTCCATAACAAAATGCATTTAATAATAGACGTCATAGTGACCTAAAGACTGTCCTGTTTATTCTACAAACAAAGGTGTTTAGTTTAAACCACCTGAGATGGATCCTTTAGGTTTATTAGGATGAGCAGTCGAACTAGCACGGAGGGGTCGAGGACTGTAATAACGATTGCCCGTTCGGGTGTTATGGCACTTCTGACGGACATTTCGAGAGTCCTCAGGGAGGGAGAACCAAAAACTGACTAATTACGTTGGTTGCAGACAGTAACTTGAGACCTTGCCACAGACAAAGGGCGGACAACCCTGGTGGAGACACGGCTAGGGCCAACGCAGACGGTTTTTACAACTCCGTTCCGACCTACGCCTTCTGTAAAGACCTTCCTGTAGTCGGGAGATTCGAGAGACGGGTAATTCGCTAGTGGGGTCAAGCACATTAGGGTCACAAGACGAACTTAGAACTATGATCTTAATTGTTCCAATGCTGTGCGAGAGAAGATGCAGGATGTGAGATATCCAACAGTTGATTCGAGGGTTTTTTTGGTAATGAAGTAATCAATTCCATTCTATTCATTTCAAATGCTGACTGTTTTAAGGACGGACTTACAGGTCTTCATATGCGGCAGCTAAATCTGAGTTAGGCAGCTAACTAAGACAAGGGTGTATGAAATCTTCTCCCAGAGCCTTGTCTGATTCCAGGCTCGAAAGTCAGCGCAGTGCGATGGGCGGCATACTTTCTTGATCATCTATTCGAGGAGTGCTCCGAAGGTAAACTAGACATGTGTACAGCTTCGCCCACATAAAAATAAAGACGAATAGTTTGACCATATTAAACGTGCATTTCCTATTAGCTTACACTCCTGATCATATGAGTAAGTACTTCCTGAAATTCTCAAGGGTCATGACAAAGTCTTCGAAAGGAAACCAGTCAGATTTAGTCCCTATGTAAAACAAGGAAATGGGTGTTTTTCTTTCGGGAAGGTAGATACACACATTTGCCTTTTCGGTTCTGCACCTGTGCTTATCATCAAAGAATAGCTCGATTGAAATATATGTTATCTAGGTAGGGTGAGGTTGTTAATCCTCGGTTTTGACCCGCATATGTTAGAATTGATTGTTTGTGGCCCGTGTGAGAATAGACGGAAGTCTGTCCGAGTGACCAACTACCTGCCTCAAACAAAAAGTATTCCGTTACGGTTTTCGAAGCTAAGTGGTTCAGCCGCATAGGTAGGTCCCCAGAAGGCAAGCTTGATTTTTGATTTCGAGCCGCTTTTTACTGCCCTCAAACGGTGCCTAACTTTTACCTGAGTCCGTTTAAATAGGAGTCAGTGTTTGCCTACAAGCGCACGTGGCGTAGTAGGCCCATGCCATGACCGAACGTCCTTGGTCAGTGTTGTTAGATGAAACGGATTGATCATATGTATACTGGTAGACCTGGCACTGGTTCGCCGGTCTCAATGCTATGGAATCGCGAGGGACTGACCAGGCGGAAGCTTGCCACAAATATGCGTTGGCAGTAAGGATACGATGAGATCGTAGTTTCCTAACTGGTGATGGATGAGTTTCGGGGCGTAGGAGATGAGTTCGTTGTGTTGGCATTTCTGTGAATTTCGCTGTGAGGGTGTACGTGGGGCCGATAAGGCACATGCGTTGTCTAGATATCCTGGGATATTGTAGACAGGTAAGACGCGCCTGACGGGGTATGTGTTGGGGTTCCCGGTGTTGATTCTTCTGTCTGAACCCGATTGTCTTGTAAGTTACCGACAACGCCTTGTGCGACGTGACTATGGGATATTACGGAGGACAGGCTGAGATTGCGTTCGCATTGCCGGTGGAGGGTGTACTGGTGATAGTCGTCGCCGTCGTCGTGGTGGGTTATGGTACAGGTACTAGTGGTGAGAGCACCTTCTGAGACGGCGGCAAGTTGCCGCGTTAATATTACATTGGGTTCCAAAATGTCCGACGAGGCCGATTTGTGTGCAGGATGCCCGATGACCGCATGGGCTGGATGGAAAGAGCTGGGCACCCTTGTCGCTGGTCCATGGCACCTGAAACCCGCGAGTTCCTTTCTTTGCCTTGGCGGCGGGTAGTCGTTTGGCTTTGAGGATGACTGCTTCAGTTTTCACGGTGGTTTCCAGGTCTGCCGATCGTCAGCGCGGTCCTCTTTACTTCCGCCAGATGACTTAAATGTGTTTGGGTGAAGTCTTCGGCATGTCCTGGTAACGTTTTTGTTATTTTTGCCGGCAAGCACTCGTAACGACGTCGCCGTAAAAGGACCGCTTGGTAGGTGCTCGTCATCCATCTTTACGACAGGGCCGATCCATCGTGACTGTGTTTACCTAAGTATGGCGTAAATGCTGGGGCTTCCGTTCACCATTGGACTTCCCTATCTCTAGTATTCTTTAGGGGTAGCATAAGTGGAACTTGCCGCAAAACGTCGCAGTCCGAGCTTAATCACCACATCCCGTTATACTAGTCCACGCATTCCTAGACCACTCATGCACCTGTTCCACGCCACACAGCAATCATTAATATCCGAACCCTTTCCAGAAACAAGCGTATATTCCGCTTCGTCACCGCCATTGAGGCGGACGCAACGATACATTTCAGAACGTGGAACCTTCTATAAGGTGAAACAGTTTCTTGGAGTATCCGGGCACACGAATTGTTGATTAGGTCACGTTTGCTGGCTGTCTAACTCTGTCAGTCACTGCAACCAATCCCATCACCAGCAGGACGGAACATCTGGACTGCCGACTGGTGCATGGGTGAGAGACACGAGAGTGAGACCGGCTCTTGGGAATCCAACGCCATGTAAGTCCGCGCATTCTCCACAATAATAAACCTGACGCGATCGAATCTACGATGACGAGCTGAAAGTAGTTAAATTGAAGGTAACGACCGGAGGCATAACTCGGACCTCATTGTCAGTACAGTGTGCATGGAGGGACGGACTGTAGAATTGGGCTTCAAGCTCAATGGCTCTTTCTTAACGTGACTTTTATGATACTCCAACAGGGTTTTTATTTCTAGCCAACACTAGGAACATACTATGGAACCAGGTAGTGCGTAGCATACGTAGGCGGCCTGTTCAGCCTTGTCAGTCACTGATCCTGAGCTTACCCAAGTCGTCTTAGCAGGTGACTGAGGGAAGAGAGGGTGCGGTAGATGTTGCACAAGTCCACGCCTCATTATAAGTTGATTTACTGGTTAGTCACCGTCCTGTATCCCCTCCGTAGAGCACACGGTGGACGGTCAACCTGTCAGGAACATCCGTGTGGAAGACAACTACAACGCCGGCGGACCGGTTTGCGGAAAACTCGTTCCGGCCCACGCTTATTTTATCTTGGTTATGGAAGTTCGGGTAAGGATTATTAGGCTGGTAGGAGGTCCACAAAATTAGCACTTAACCTGATGTCAGAGTACCAAGACTTCCGCGTCTCCTGAGTTGCTTTGCTAGGCCTCTGATAATTATTCACGTCTTAGAAGACGTAGAGGCGAGTCCAATATCAATAATAATACAAGTCATCTGAGAAAACCATTCGCATCCCATAAACTTAAACTAGTTTTCTCAATATTCGATCAGACTGGTTCACAGGGCACCGTCTGTTGGCTGAACAAAAAAGCGTGAAAAATGGCGTTTCGCTATCTCATTTTATTTCCCTTATAAACTGGTTCTCAGGAAATGCGTATGTGAGATGAATGTGGGAGATTTCCAGCATGTTCCTCTTAGTGGAAGCGAAATTTCCGTCAACACAGCCGCACCGGAATATAGGTTTACAGATTTTAAATTTCCGCTGTTCAAACCTTTTCACGGTAGCTTTGGCGACTATCCCAAAGCAAAATGCCCCATGCCTTCGGCCTACGTATGTGCTTACACGTTTAAGATAAAAAAATGCAGTTTGACAGAAGGTTGGATACTCCATTAAGCCGTCGATTTTGAGCCCTTTCTCTGACTATATCATTTACTGAACATATCGCTCAGAGTGACTTGGCTGAGTTGCGTTGGTGTCAACTCGAAAAGGGACGTAGAATCAAATAATACTACGATGCCATCTGCGACCCGGAATGTTGAGGAAGACCTGAGAAAAATTAAGCGGTCATTCTGAATGCACTCTTGGAGCTTTCGGCAGAAGTAATAAGACGAGTTGACATCCTGACACCTTTAGATTTCAACAACAATCATGCCATCGACTTACTGCCTCTACTTAACACGACGGAGACTGCGCGCAGATCTTAATTTGAGAAATCCACATTTTACGACACCTGTAAGTGCAAGATGTGTGACCCAAATATGAAGCTCTACATGGCGGGACAAACTTAAAGGCGTTTTTTTCATGCTACTACTTTTTCGCTACCATTTCCGTTCTTGAAGTTCATTATATTTATTCTCTTCACACGCGGTCTATTGCAGGCAATTTGGGGAACTCTTGGAGCAACGGAATAGTGCTACGGTTTACCCAGGCGGACAGCCAGTAAAACTATATCCTCCTCCCCGGTGGCGTGATGGATATAGATCTTCCAGCTATTCGTTATGTACTTCAAGAGGACCTTTTTAACTTTCGTATCCAGCGCTTATTTGTGACACAAATTAAAGGGCACACTGATCGTGAAATGTTATCACTCAAAGGGCTGTAACTAGTAGATATGCCGGAAGACCAAGTTTTGTTAAAAAGGAGAGGGGCGACCACTCTGAGTTTTGGCGCGGATTGGTGTGTCAGGATTGTGCTTTCCTTCCTTTAGTGCAAGTATGTGAAGAACTGGTCTCTCTCTCCCTGGTGGCAATCTTCAGCTCCAATATTCCTAAACAGCAACCGTGAATACTGTGCGACTTCCGAACAAATCGGATCTACAGGTGCGTATGTGTGTGCTACTTTCCAGAAGGAGACTCTGTTCCAAATGGTTTTTGAGGTGGCTGAGAGGGATGCGAGCTCTGATCTTCTCGCAATGTTGAGTGCGGAGATGCCTCTGTGGTTCTCGTGAAGTTGACGATTATCTTCGTGCTTGTAGAGATGGACAATTGTGACGCCATTGAAATCCTACGGAACTTGTCTTTGACGCCTCATATCCTGGAAGATCGCTGTCATATGACTCGTGAGTTGGTGGCCGCCGCTCTTGTAAAGCTCAGCAGGGATTGCGCCCGACTTGGGCGTTTTCCCGCTGGAGAGCTGCTGCACGACCCTGACGGTTTTGTGGAGAGAAAACGGGATGTGAAGGTCAGCACCGACCCCCGCTTGAGACAGACGGAGGATGGTGGCGTCGGAGATGGTGGAGAGATGGCTGAGGATGCCTCTGGAGTGCTCGACCCATCGCTTCAGAATTTGGGTCATTGCAGTGAGTAGGGTACTACCGTCGGCTCCGAGAAGAGGAGTGGTGCCCTTGGTTGTGGGACAGTGAACAGCCCTGATCGCAGCGAAGAAGTTCTTCCATTCGATGCGCTTCTCTTACCCTTGGATCTCCTCGGCCTTACGCACCGTCCAAGGGTCCGGCATCTCCCGCAGTTGCTGTTGCACACGGCGGCGACTATGGTAGAAGGCCGTTTTGCTTGCATCGGTAGGGTGGTCGACGTAGGCTTTGTCCAGATGGTTCTTCTCGGCGAGCAGGTCGTTGATCGCGGCGTCATTGTCGTCGAACCAATTCTGGCGCTGACGACATGCATGACCGACGAAATTAGTGGCGGTTGACTGGACCGTGCCCCTTAGTGAACGTCCTCGGTTATCCATGGAGGCGTCCTCGCCGGCGGCGACTGAAAGATTGGATAGCTGCTGAGCCAGTTCCTTGCTGAAACAGAGGTTATCAGCAGACACTTCAATAAAACAACATTCAACTTACCTGGGGGTCGCTTACCTTGAAGTCTCCTGCGTGACTGTAGACGGATCCGGATCTTGGGGATGACGAGACGATGATCAGTCCAATTCTTGATACCCGGGATTGCTTTTGTCTTCAGCACTTCTTGCCAACCTCGCCTACGGAGGAGAACATAATCCAGAAGGTGTCAATATTGTGACCGAGGGTGCATCCAGGTGGTATTCTCCCGCATCGGGAGGCGAAAGAAGGTGTTCGTCAGGATGAAAATGTGTTCGCCGTAGGTTCGTAGAAAAAGCCGGCTATTGTCATTGGAGCCGCCGAGACCATGAGGGTCCCACACTCTTCCCCACGCAGCACGGTCTGTGCTGACGCGGACGTTGAAGTCACCAAGGACAATCTACTTATCTTCCATCGGCATAGTTGCCAAGAGGGCGTGCAGGCCGTCGTAGAATTCGTTCTTTGCCGCGTCAGAGCTGGACATCGGGGAGCGCAGACACTGAGGAGGGCGACGAAGCTGCCTCCCCGGAAAGGCAGGCGGAGGCTCATTAGACGACCGTTGATGTCCTGCGACAGATAGGGTTGTCGTCCTATGATGTCGTTCCGAATGGCAAAGACGACGCCCGCGTTCCGTCCCTCTGCCCTGGAGAGACCGTTTTAGAAGATGTAGCCGGCACCCAACTCCTCCAGTTGGGTCTCGCTGAGTGCTCAGATGTCCACCTAGTAGCGCGCTAGTTCCCGGGCCACTGGCACCGTCCTCCGGTCCTGTCGGTTGCTTCGCGAGTTGTCTAAAAGGGTACGAACATTCCAGGCTGCCAGAGTAGGCGGACGCACCTTACCAGTCTGTGGAGTGGGACGGTGGCGAGGATAAAGGGGGAAAAGAAGGATTATTGTTTCGTATTTGGCGGTTTCGACAGTGTGTTTTCCATCTGCGAGCCATGGTGAGCGCGCAGAGGACGTGGTCTAAACGTTTGTTAGGGGGGACCTTTTCTAGCCCTGTCCCTTTCGCGTGGGTGAGCAGTGCTATCCCTAAATAGGGCTGCCCAGTCGTCCCAGACGACTGCAAAACTCCACTATGGGACACGACATTTTTTCAGTGGGGGAACGACCGAGTTAGCCTGGGCCGCCTACGTGATCGCTGTCTCTCTCGCCGTAGGAATTTTTGAATTAGGGTGAGACGGGGGTGGGGTAGGGGCACAGAGACGGAAAGCAGTTTCCCGTACCTTTCTGAACAAACTGGTTGCTGGCATGTAGACGGTGAGCAGACAAATTCAACAGAACGGTATTTAACTTACAACAAGAAAAACGCAAACAAATTAACAAAGGCAAACAAACAAGGACGAACAAACAAAGCAAAGGCAGCAAAGCAATATTCAACTTACTGGGGGTCCAGCTGCCCCACGCGATAGTTCGACCGTCGCTGCCGACGATGTCCACCGTATGCTCCACAGGAAGGTGAAGCAGATACGGTGATTTGTGTGTGAGTTAGTTTACAGTGGTAATAGACTTGCAAGACATCTAACGCACTCCCTCATTCCCCGCCTTGAATCGGTATCCAGAGGGGGTCAAGAAGACCGGAGGCGGATAGAGCGCAGGCGAATGGCACGGCCGAGCCTGCACTTTGGCGCTCAACTACACACCCTCTTGTCCACACAGCGAACGACCAGGATTTTAACAACAACAACAACAACAACAACCACCACCAACGGGTCAGAAGAACAAAGATGACTGGGCAGTCATGCTAACGACCTGTGCCCCTGGCGGGAGCGCAAGCGCATCTACCGGCAGGGAACCAGGTGTCAGAGAACGGCCAGCTCATAATAGTCTGCATGGGCCATGGTTTGCCGATCCTAATATCCTAAGGTTCCACCCTGAAAGTCAAAAACTAACGGAAAGGTGGAATTTTTTTGCGCGTCCACAGCGAATTCTCATTAATTAACCCAGACACTAGTCTTAAGGAGTTATCGGCGATGATTATGGGTCTGTTGGCTGTGGAAAAGAGCTGCATAACTAGGGACTTGCTAAGCTTCAGTTAAACTAGTGGCTAAGGATGGGCCTCGGCGCCTTCCGTAGTTTTATGTTGGCATGGGCACTGGAATCACTTTGTGAACCGGATGTTAGTCGGATTGATAAGGGCAAACGGGATAGTCAAGGTACCTGTAACACTTGGCCCGAAAATGGTATCAGAAGGAGATTTTGGATAGCTGAATATAAATAGGGTCCTAAGTCCTAAAGTTACTTGTACTCGGTTGCAAAGTGCACCGCTTCATACACGTCACTACAGCGGAAAAAGGACATTTTGAAAATGGTCGGAGATTAAGAGGTGAACGGTGACATCTTCAAAGATTTTCCTCTCTGAGTAACTGGAGTGATATGCGCTTTATCAATAACATACGTTTTAGTTAGATTGTTTGTGGTGAGGTTTGGTTCTGCAGCCCCACTTGACGGATTTCTTATTGTCCGCCTACTGAAATTTTTTGATAGGTGTGATTACATTGAAGTTGCACATTTCGCGTTTGGGCCCGAGTTGCAGGAAGTGGACTGACGAGCGGATTAACGAACTGACTCATATGGAGAAAATACGAGCATCTTTTAGTCACATGGCTTAAAAGGACTGTTCAAAATCGGTTAACGTCTAGTAAAGCGCAGAAATCGGTCATTCACTACAAAATCGCATGCATCATGGAGCGGTGGGCGCAGGTGCAAGCATTTGAATAAAAATGCTACCGACGAGGACAGGGATAGCAGGATGGAAATGTTTGACTTATTAGACATCAAATAGTATCACGGGTTAACGATGAAAAATTAGCCAGATAGACCCTTCCAGTGTCGTAATCATTGCAAATAAGACATATCTCTTAATAACTACGAATCGTCCTGCGACCTCTTGCGTGAGCTGTAGACCTTAATCTTAAAGACAAAGCGGATTAATCCGTATTCCATGCTGCAATTCGAATAGACAAGTGCACACCAATTCCCCGTGAGAAGCATCCATGCTTTTCTTATTAGTCAGAATTTCAGTTTGAACATGGTTGGTAAGATGCACCCGCTGGCTCTTTAATATATCGATCCCCCTGATTGGCTAGCCCGTGCCGATGCGCTTGTAGGCACATTTTCCACAACAGGCGTGACGTGACTAATCGGGAGACGCGGTTGTGGGATTATACAATATCAGTCTAATTGTTCAAATAAGAAATTGGATTGAAATTATCTCCTTGTGCGGGTTTCCAAAAAGCCATTTATGCGCATCCACCAGCTTTTCGTGGACGTACCGGTTTGTGGTCAGTAAAAGTATTTTTAATAATAGTATATGAGAAGTAGGGAACTCGTTGCTTAGGCACGTCTCACAAGTTTTCTGGCTACTTGAGTTCTCATTTTTAAAAGTCTGACAGTGAAAAGATGCGGCTTGTTAAAGTTACAGACCCTGTCAGGTCTCTGTTTTACTTAAACACCAACCGACCTACTGTGTGTGTGGTGCCGAGCATAAATGTTGAGATATTCTCTTTAAACGCATTTGATTCAACAGCAAAAAACGTAGCAAGTGGAATAGAAGAGGCTTTAATTGTTGCATTGAGGATTTTTCAACGAAAACAAAGAAAATTTTTGCAACGAGTACTGGTCGATAACCGACAAGATGAGGACGCATTAGTAAGTAGGATTTGTTCTTTGTTAGTGTGATCAGAATCTGCGACCGGAAGGGTTTGACAGAAAGTTAGCATGCTATCGTATATGCGCTAGCCTTCAGTTACTTTGCGAACCTATGAATTTAAACAATGATTTAAACAATCCATTGTGTTTGGAAACAATAAAAAGCCTCTGTCAATGTTACATGAGCCTCATCAGGTTCTGTTAGAATGGGGGAAATCGACAGGTATTGGAATATCTTGCTTCCGATAAATGGGGTAGTACTTATAAATGTCCATTGGAGCCATTCCCTGCATCGTTGTGCGCTAAATGCCTGGGAAAATAGCTCATTGGTTGTCAAATTAAAGCCTAATGCTGTAAGTAGGAATTTACTTTGACTGCCCAGTTACTGTAATGACAATGCTTTTTCGGTGTGGAATTTCGAAATTCTCTAAGTATATTTCAGGTGATCTCTTCGTCGTTATTCAAGGTTTTCTGTTAAATTTATGAAACCTTTAGTTCTAAAACACTAGAAGGCGGCAAAAGGACTTATTTACATTTGCAACTGACGAATATGTGAAACTAACACGGCCTGATTTGAGCACTACTTTTGAGAGAAAATGTAAGAAAAGTTTTAAGCATTTTTAAAATCTTAGGTAGACCATGTAGTTGAGGGAGATGTGTGCCGACATGTCGGAGGTGTTCGAGGTCACGGTCACTTATGTAACGCCCTGTGTGGAGCCGTCCTAGACAGTCACTTTCGCCTCTACTTCATCCGTGCAATCCTTTTCTTTGTCTACCATCCTGAATTTCTTCTGGTCTGATATTATGGACTGTATCTTCACGGTGTAGTCCGATCTGTTCATTATAACGACGCCTGTTCCTTTATCCGGTCAAGTTACTAAAATACCTTTGTTCTACCGAAGTTCTTCTAACTTATTTATGCGCGCTTTTGTCAGCAATCTCCGTCTTTCTGGCCTCTTGTTCAGGTACTGATAACTGCAGATCACCAGGATTGATTTTTAGGTTTTGGATACTGCCTGTGGAAGTGGGCACTAGATCATAGGTTTGGTTCCATAGGTTCTCAAGCCGAGTTTCCACTTCTAACTGAGTAACTTTTCGATGAGGTATGCAAAACATAGGACCAAGGAATAACGCTTCAAATGACGTTTTATCAAGTGTCATATAAAAGTGCTTGTGAGGTACCGATCTGGATCTTTTTTACCTACCACACCAAAGCAGAAATAAGAAATAAAATTACTTTGCAATTAAACATTGATAGCCAAAAATTGTTGCAAAATATTTAACAAAGTCTGGATAAACATCCTAAACACTTCGAACAGAAATGTTTTGCTATCAAGAAAATTTGCCCCGAAAGTTCTGAAGGTTTACACCTTGACACTTCATTCTACGCCTACATCATGGGCTGGAAAGGACTTTGTTAGATAGGGATAACACTTGTGACATTGAAACGACATATTTGAGGGCCCCAGAAAAGGCTTACCAAGTGAAGTATCTGAAAATGTGGATAAATAAGCCGTCCGATATCCAGTCGTTTCCATTTCTGCGTAAATTATGCTCGTTTTAATCACACTTTTAAAAAGTATTCGTGGGGTACTACAGGAGGCAAAATGCAGACTTAAGGTTGGATTGAACGAAAGGCCACATCCAGACAATCGCGGGTTTTTGCTCCACTTACCCGGTTTGACTTTTCGACGCCAATCATTACGCTCCTGCCCTTCGGTGCAGACCCACTGTGGGGATTTTTCACGCGGAGCCTGTACACTGCAGAGCGCTGAAGTGACGGAATGCTGAACCATTTGTTTGACAAGACTAACCAAACGCTGTCTCTGGTAAGGTGAGAGGCCATAAACCGAACAAGGTATGGTCCGATGCTCTGGGTCACGTAAGTCGGCGTACGCACGTGCATGCCAGTACAGTATATATACATATGAAGACACATTGGCGATCGTCTGGCTGCAGAAGTAAGTGCTAACTCAGGTAAGCGCTCTGCTACTTTGTGTCGGACTCTAGGATTATACTCTAAACATCAATCCAACAGAAAAATGGTTAATTAAACGACCTTTAACTGCTTTATCTGGCTGAATAGTTCTAGCTATTGGTTTTTACCTTCCTCGAGCAGACCATTTGTATTTGGAGAATCACTTCAAATTACGACTGCTTAAATAAACGAAGGGAGATCTGCCGTGTTTTGGGGCTACTAGAGCAGAAACTTCTGAGCTAATTACACGCTAATTTTTAAAGCCCCAGCGACTTTGCTGTATTTGCCTCCAACGAGAGAAAGGGACGGCTTAAATACAGCAAATTTTCTAATTACCTGAGTTACGAAGCCTGCTGAAATAGTCTAGTGTTCTTTTGCATTTAGTCAATCTGTCTGCAAGTTATATAATCCACTAATTTTAATTAACAATTAAGTATTGGCTTAAATAGTTCAAAGCTTCTGGAGTATCTTTAAATACAGGTTGATCGTTGAGCATCGGGTGGGTTCTAGCTACAATTTGAGGAGCGGAGAAATTGCCAAATAAATTTATTTTATAGAAACTATGCAGAGATTGAAATTCTGAAATATTGTTTTAATTCAAAAGGATTGCTTAAGTGAGATTGCAATGTTTATTACGAATAGGTCAAGTCTCAGGGAATTTCGCACACACCAGTCGCCTCCAAAAACCCAACTTGTAAGAAAGTGGAGATTCAATTAATACGTATTTCTCCAAAGGCTTTCCGATGCTCACATAACAGCATTCATAATTTTTTAAATGGATGCACCGAACGTTCAGTTTAGGTCATATTTGAGTTTTCTTCTTAGGTGTTTAAGGTATTTACTGATCCATGTATCACGTAAACCTACGTTTACGCCTTTTGAAAAGTGCTCTGAGACCATTTACGTGGATATCTTGCTTCCTATGTGGTCGTTGTAGTATCTGAAAATTTTCCTGATTACAAAACACGCTGTTGGGCGTTCTCTTTTGAGTATAACTTCACAAAACTGAGTCATTTGTTGTAAATTAAACGCAGAGAATGCATTTTATAGGCACCCTTCCAATAAACTATAAGTGATCTTGATTGGCATTAAAAATATGCTGAACATATTGCCTACTTAGTATGAGGTTACTTTTTACTACACGTGCTTCATGCAATCCAGGAACCAGAACACCGATATGTACCAGTCACCATAAGACTGTGCTGTAGACCAATCAGCATCACAGTATCCTTTCTAAAAATTATCGTAGGTTAGATTTTCAATCGATGTTCCATGATTTAGGCAACTTCATCGCATGGCAGTTGGCGAATCTTTCCAAAATCCATGTACTTAAAACAGACAGCTTCGTACAAAATGAGTTTAGGAACCGAAATTTGCGCATTATTTTTTAGTAAGTGGGATTGAAGATGTATGGCATAAACTACAGGCAGAAGGAAATTACTGGCAAAGACAAGGAAATTTGAGATGGTCATTTTCGGCCCATTAGTTGTCATCGGACAGTCCTGACCGGTATCTAAAGTTTGAACTCTCATCCCTTTGGTTATCAGGCGTTAGTAAGTCCAGCGCTCTAGCCAGTGAGGCACGGACCCCTTGTCCTGTCACTTGCGATCGGGAATATACAACGGTGGAGGGACGCTCACCGATCGTTCTTACGAAACTTACTCGTTCCGTTGTGCTTTACTGATTCTCTCTCGAGCCTAACCAAGATTGGAATGGCCACTGCTGACTTATTAGCCGTCTTCAACCAGTCATACCCAACCCCGAAGTGCGGAACACCTGGGGCTCGAACTCGCGACCTGTTAGCTAGAAATGCAACGTCTCTAACCACTAGCTGACGACGACTAATTAACCAGAAATGTCTATTCCAGTCTCCCTTGTCTTTGTCGATAATATCATTCTGCCTATATCATGCGCCGCTGTGCGGCTGCTGGTCGGATTCAAGAGAGAGCCCGTAAGGTACAACGGGACGAGTGAGTTACGTAGAAACGATCGGTGAGCGCCACTCTACCATTGTATATTCGCGACCTCAACCGACAGGACAACGGGCCCGTGGCCCAGTGGTTAGAGGCGTTAGACTTCTAACTAACAGGTCGCGAGCTGAAGCCCCAGGTGTTCCACACTTCGGGGTTGGGTATGACTGGCTTACGACGGTTAATAAGCCAGAAATGGCCATTCCAGTCTCTCTTGTCTCTCAATCTGTAAATATTAACTATGCTAGAGGTAAGTTTTCCGATCGGGTTACGAGACTTGTTCGTCTCTTTGTGATTTGCGGCTCGGTCTAGATCATCACAGGCAGTCATTCGATGCAGGCAGCCTATGCCCTTCTCGATCGAAATGTATCACGTTACCGTGTGTGACTCGACCCGAAATTCCTCCCCAACTTAACTATCATTGCAACCTGACTCAAGTCTAAAGGACTTTTCAAATGTTTTGTGTAATTCCCCATGGATTTTGGCACCTATTATGACCGATGGGCTAACCTTAGATGCACATTCATAGCCTTCGACATGCTACTCCTCATTAATCATAATGGAGATGGAATAATTAGCAGGCATCTTAAATAAGTTCAATAGTCCAACCGCATGAAAGTAACCTACGACAGTCTTCTTATATTAAGTGATGAAAAGAACAGAATGCTAGGCGGACGTCGTACTTTCAGCTTTTTATGCTCTATCTATCACACAACATGTTTTGCTTTCCTCTTGCTAGGTCAAATCACGTCATTGGTCAGCATATACCTTCTTCTAGCATCTAATGTGGTTAGATCGCCCCAGGCTGTTTTTCACAATGCGCCCAATGTTGCATAAAGATATGGGCTGCCAGCATCTGACTAGAGAAAGGTACAACTTGATAAACGCATCAAACGTTGATTAGTTTGTCATCAGGGCTTGTTTAAATTTCTCCCGATTAATCACGGCAATCTGCCGAATAGCAAATCAGCCTCCGTTCCCTCTTTCTATGTTTATTCTGACACATGAAGGGGTAAAGTAGTTCACCACTCACAATACTGATACTTGTGAGAAGTAACGTTTCTGCAGGAATGCTTTTTTCAGAGGTTCAGGAAACAATTGGAAAATTCAAGTAACCATGCCGATTGCTCTTGATTTAATTGATCTACATCTAACCATTTACCAACCGCCTTTATATGGAACTGTGCAAACGGCCTCCTTGTTACAGGCAAGGTAACTGAGGCCCCATTAAGTCGTTTAGTCAATTGATAGAAAAAATGGGTGTTGTCAACATATTTACATTTTTTTGTAGTTTGGATAGTGGAATACATCACTCTGGTTCCCAAAACTGAGGAATAGACACGAGGATGATCATGTAATGTAGAGAGATATGCTAAATCAGCGTCTGTTTTATCACTCAGAGATGATGAAGAATGAAGATTAAAAGGCCTACATACTACGTTCTCCTCGTCGAAATTAAAACAGTCACGCAGAGTATACCTGCATCGTAAACGAGGCTAACACTCAAAGATCACTATTTTCGTGAGTATTTTGCGTTACATGTCGGTTGGGCTGCAACCATCAGGAGCTGATTATGCAAATTTTCAATTTATGACTAAATATATAAGGCGGAATAAAGTTCATTTTTGTACAGTTGCCAGACTACCTTTTGAATTGCTGTCCGGCGACTGTACTTAAACTAAGTTAGATGTGTGTTTGGCAAAAATTACTTTTAAAAAAGGAACCAGATTTTCCATATGTCAAAGGCAAGTCTCAAAAACATGATCTACTCCTCATATCTGCGTTTTACTCCTTTACTTAAAACAAACGTAGAGGCAAATTTCTCAAGTCATGACAGTCTTCTACAATGTACTCAAAGTCCTTTTGATGACGTCGGGGTTTGTTGCAGTGGTAAGTAAAACGAGAAATTTGTGAATATAAGCTGACAATTCCTCCTAAATATTCCTGTAAAGGGTTGAAAATTCAAAAATAGCCTAATGCAGACTACCTTCTGCAGCGCATTTACAATTTCCAGCACATACGATGCCCTTCTAGGTTGTAGAAAGAACTGAATGAACAGATATCACTCAGGATGGGCTGTTTTTCTCTTTTTAACTCCACTCATGAACCAGTCGTTTATTTAACAATTTTGTCACAATTTCAGGCCTTTTGCACGCAGTAAGTTAAAAAGTTGCCGGTTTTTAAACCATTTTGAGTTGCACAAGACCCTAACACGAGCGAACCGCAAAATGAATCAAAAGCTCCGAAATGAAGTCATTATCTTCTACTTAAATAAATTAGGTAGCGAGGGCAAATCGTCGGCCAATTTGACTAGTGGGGTTGGGTTTAGGAATAGTATTGAGGTATAGGTCAGCATATTTTGAAAACCGTATTGTAAACGGTACATGCAATATGTAACTTTGAAAACCCTTTGTAAACGGTACATGCAATATGTAACTTTAAATAAACACAGTACTAAAATGTTGTCAGTAATATATAAGGCAAGGTCTAGGTAATTGTGCCACTAACTGCAATCCTTGACCTTAGCTTTGCTTTGTGTTTTACTGAACAGTACTCAGTACACTTGTTCAATATTCTGTGCGTCGTAATGTACCCTTCTCATCGTTGGGAAGAACACGCACATCCCTCACCGCTTCCTCATAAAGGACCAAATAAAGCCCACGGTTTTACAGAAGGGGTTAATGACGCTCCATTAATGAGTTTCTCGGTTGAGTTAACACGGTTGTTGCCAGCAAAAGCCACTCATTGCTGACCAGGCATTTCAATGTTCTCGTCGGCTCCTTCCATAAGGCGGAGTCCCGATGAGTCACGGTTTGATGCCCTTAACCATACCTTGGCAATCACATGACGCGTTTATTGGCACGTACTTCTCAATTGTATTTTGGCCACTTTTGGTGTGACCATCTGTGCAAACCTGATGTTTGTTACGCATCCCTTATGTGTGAACTGTCAACAGTGATGCTGCTAAATGTGAACCTGACTGGCGAAATTGGCAAAGTCTGTCAGGAAAACTTTCCAATGTGTTTATCCAGTGTTTCTTCCTCTTCCTATGCCACTCGACGTTTGAAGATGTCCTCAGTAAACTTTAGACTGTAAAGAAGGCGACATGATAGCTGGGACAAGAGCCTTATTCGCCTGACGCTCCGGATTCCTGCCCGAATCCGTCATCAGAGACAATAGCAGATGCGGGTAGTTCATGCGCAAGGGGCTGCAATAAGTTACCACTATGTCGCCATGTTACCGTATACCTAGGAAAATACACGACTTCCACCTTCATCAGTATCCAGCATCTACTATTGTCTCTGATAATGGGTTCGGGCAGGAGTTCAAAACGTCAGGCAAAAAAAAACTTTTGTTCCAGCAATCTTGCCTCCACGGTTACTTCCCGAAGATCGACTCCTCGTTTCTATTGACAAACTTCAGTCCCTTTCATTTTCTTTCCAATTACAGTTTCCGATACTATCCCCTTATGCCTGATTCTATAATTTTCGATGGTATTTCCCCATCCTTACTTTACGCTAGGCCTCACCCATGTGACATTGAAACCCTCGATTTTTCTTTTTCCCATATCGTGTCACTTCTCCTTTTATTTTCGTCTTAAGTGCATGCATGGTTCCTTTGTGTTCTTCCTCTTTAACCATTCGGGTCACATCCAGCGTTTCATGCTTAGTTTCAAGTGTTTTTCCACATTCTCTTTCGTGTGTCGGGTTTTCCTCATTGCATGTTTCCCTTATGGTTTGTTTATTTTCCTTTGTTCGTTTTCCATTATCCATCATTTCACTGTCCACTGTATTAATGAGCTTTGTGTTTTTTGAAGATTGGCTTCAAAATAATTTTTGCTTTGTTTGTTGTTCGACATTTTATCCTCGTTCCGGCAGCCCCGAGATCCTTAGTAAAATTATCGTTTTCTCTCATCTTATCTCTCCTTATTCTTTAACAATTTGCCTTTTGATCTATTCTTTTCCTTCCATTTATTTCGTTTATGCTTGGAGCTTCTTTGCTGTCTCTGTTTTTATATCTATCTCTCTGGTTTTCTACAATTCTCACTTTGCCCTTTCCTTAGAGTTTTTTAGAATACAATCTATCCCGTTGTATTGATTTCTATGGTGCATCGGCATGGGAATGTGGACTCCTATACTACAAATGGCCTTGCTCTAAATTTCCGGGGTTTGGTGAGAATCATTTTTAGGGTCAAAGTCCGGACATGAGAAAAAGTATCCCCTCCGAAATTTAGCTCAAGGACATCTCTAGTAGGAAGGTCCCTATTCCCATGTCCAGCCAGATATTCCCGGCGGCAATTTTCACCTCAAACTTCACTTCACTTTGGCAGTGGCACAAAAGATAGGAAAAACGAAATTAACCATGATGGAAACCCCGGAGTCCAGATATGTGATACGGGACCTAGACGGCAGTTGTCTTTATGACCCAATGCTTTTTCGACTATTTGTTGTCATCTGAAGGTAAGCAATAACAATCTTAGGCGATTCTCTTGGTCAAAAGCACAGTAATATTAGTTTTACTTTGGAAAGTGCCCAGTGAGGCTAATTCAAACTGCATGACAAACTTAGCATTGTCTGAGGTCTTATTGTATTCCCAAAGTTCTGGCAAGGTGCCTGTCTTGACATCTTTTACACTAGACTACGTTTCCTTTTGTAAATTAAATGACCGATTTTCCCCAAAAAATTCCACAGCTCATATACTACTTTAAAAGAAGATTTATCGGACGTTAAAAGGGCTATTTTTCCTAGCTCCTCCGTGGACCTCGACCAGAAAATGGACGTTCCGTAAGTCGATCAGTTTCCGTCCTTTGTATGCACAGCAAGATTTTACTTCAAGGAAAATAAGTTTAAAATCGTATAGACCGACACAATTTGAACTGTTATTACCAAGGGAAATAATGCGTGCAATTTCTGCCAGACCATAGTTACCGAATGCCATACTGCCCTTCTTGATAAGTTAAAGAATCATATTGAGGGTTCAGATATTGGTCAAATAATATCACTAATTACCTGTTAGACTTCAATTCACAGACAAAGGAAATTTTTCTTGGTCAGTTTTAAGAAAAGAAGCCAAATTTATCACCTTTTATCCTTTTGCCACCACTCGGCCGTCACCAAGAGCATTGCCCAAGGAAACATAAGATTCAAATGAGAAAAAAACATTTTTTCCAATATCGAAAGTTTCTAAGCCGTCAATTATTAAGATGATCGGTATATTCCGAACGTTGTTTCAAATTCTGTAGTGAAGAAGTGTAACTTTGTTCTTTAAAAGAACCTCGCAAATATGGTCGGTGGACATTTTTTATTGCTTCCACACTAGGCGGCAAAGCTAGTTAACTAGCCGATAATCAGGCTTAGTTGCTGTTGTTATCCTCACATCCCCTGACTCAAAAAGGATCAGATCCGAGGTTTGAAACTGGACTGATTACGTCAAGTCCATGTTCGCGCCCTGCATCCTGAGATTGACAATATTCCCCCTAGAGTGCGGACAAGAATTCATTCCGTTTTGAGAATAGAGAATACTTCGATTAACCTCGAAGTCCCGTTTTCGTTTACTCGTAGAAATTTGCGTAAACACAAGCAACTAAATGTCGATAATGCCTACCGATTAGATCAGGAAATGCTGTTGACAATCAGAACAGACGAGTGCGTGTCATTACGATGTGAGCTTTAACTTTCTAAGTCTCAGTCTATGGCTAAATGATTACATAAGCTCCATATCTAACCCTAGGATCTCGTATGCCTGGGGTTAGGGTTTATGTGGTCGACGACAAGTATGTCAGAAATGACCATCTTAGTCACTTTTGCATTTATTGCAACATTTCTTAGTCAGCGACTGCTAGTCGCGCTGAGGCTTTTTGAACAGTTGAGACCCAAGGGCAGAAATGGACTTTTGGATTTTATCGTACTTGCAAAATAATTCCGTATCTTACCCGCTCTGTGGATAAAATAGTTTTGGCTGGCAGTTTGCGGAATGACAATTGGAGCAATGGATGCATCTGCCTAAAGAATGCAGGCGACGAGGAACAAGCGGGAAGTTCCGCTTCGACTAAACTTCCGAAAGAGTAGAAATACGCTCCAAAATTTTCAGCAAAAAAGGCTTCCATTCACTGTAGATAAAATGGTACGGAAAGCAGATAAACCAAACGATAACGAGCGATATTTAGTGGCCGAAAACCGCAACGGTTGACATCATGAAGAATCGTCGATGAATGAGTTACGAAGCTTGCATCAGATTTTACTTCCTTCAAAACGGTACTGGCCTAATGGGCAGGTGACCTCTTTTTTGTAGTTCAGATAAACAAAGTGGGGAAAAAATCGGCATATAATGAGTAAAATAGGCCAACAAACATACGTATAGGAGAATTCCTATGTGAATGGTGAGTAAAAAAACGGCTTAATCTCGAAAGCCCACTAGATACTTGAAAGCTTAAACAAAATTTTTAAAAGTAGGAATTGTGATACGGAATATTGAAAGTAGTTGTATTAGTCCTACTCCGGGCGTCTGTTCCCACGCTGCCTCGCACGTGCCTGGGGCAGTCCGGCTTTCGGCCAATCAAGGCAGTTCAGACTGGTTAATCAAAGTCGACGCAGACATGTCTTCGTTCAACGTCCTCTGATGACTACTCATTTGTCACCCAGGACGAATGTTTTCACGGCGCCGGGCGGTGTACCTTCGTCCGGTTGCCTACTTCCTCTAACCTACTATCTGACCATTTGGTACAGAATAGAATGCTCTATCTACTGTCGTTCATCTTCACATCCTCTTATTGGGAAACGGAATCGCGGGTCGTAGCGGCTGTTTTAAGCTATGATTAAGCTGCTCCGACACAGTCGCGGGCTTTGCCTGGCCTCCGTGTCGCAGTGAAGAAAAAAAGGGAACTTATCTTGGAAAACCCCCTTAGGCAGACGTTTTTTTACGAAACCCTACATAGCTGCTAAATCAAGAATTGCCTTACTTTCGCTATGGACTTTTCTATTGTAGAATTCTTGTGATCTTTGGTCTCAAATTGCGTTTGAGGTAAGTGGAACGTTTTTACTTAAGAAAAAAGATATATTAGTCATAATATAAAATTTGGCGTCAAAGAATTTAAATATAAGCATTACTTTATGATTGCATTAGTGAATCCGTATTAAAAGGGTCCTAGAGATAAGAATAAGTGGGCGAACATCAGATGTAGTGGCGATAAACTGTTTCAAACAGAGGCTTTAGCAGGTCTGTGTGACGCATCAAATACTGAGCTAAACGATGCATTGTTTTTATTAAAGATATGTAACAAGCAGACGCTTCTTAAAATAAAGCAATTTTACTGTGGAGTCCTTGATAGCATGTATAAAAACCAGCTCTGTATCGAAAATATGCTAGAAACCAGAAAATTTGTTTGGAAGGGAATGCAACGTTCACAGAAATGCACTAAGTCGAGTTTCACACCTATCTTTTGAAATTCTGCAACGCAAGTAAAGGCCGTAAACGTTATATTCCAAACGCTTCCTATGACACGAAACCGTGAAATTGCCTTTAATTTTCATTTAAGCCTAGTCGTCTTTGAAGGAGCAAAAATAAATACCGATCTATTCGTTCCCCATATGGGCAGCTCATATTGAATTGACGAGGGCGCAGGGATTCTTATATATTAAATATGGTGCATTGCGGATGCTGTTTACTACACAAGGCAGCCTTTCACTATGCCAATGACATTCATCCTAAGGTAGTTTAGTAAACAAGCAACATCTAGTAATTTGGTTTCACTTATTTCTAACTCCCTTATTTTTTTGCGCACTAAATGTGATCCAATGGAATTTTTCACTCATACAGTCTGGAAAAGGAGACACTCGTGCGGAACATAATATCAACACTCGGCAGCCAGATGGTGTAAGTTAATAGATATATTCTACTTCCTCATCGGAGAGATAGTGAAGTGAAATGCATGCCAAATTAGCATATCAACTTGGAGGCGTTGTATGCGACTGTCAGCTCGACCGCCGAAATACTAAGAAATCGGCGTATATCAATTTGTACTTTTTCAAAGACCAGGCTTTGCTTGCCTGATAAACTCAAAAGCCGTGTTTAGAGCGCTTTGATTATTAGATCTGATAATGGAACCACGAAAAAAGCCTCCTTTCAACATGCAATCGACTAACTGCTGTATTCGTTTGTATGAAAAGTTGTAGGAGTCCTTCATCGGGGTTGAGATGTCCCACAAGTTTCCCTTGGCAAACGGAAGTTAGCCTAATTTCCACCAAGAATGTAACTGTATTTTGGCTACTGATAAATTACAACCAAAACGGTAAACTAATATTCGTAAACAGCGTCCCCTGTTATAAAACTATTATTGAGAAAAAAAAGGTTGATAGAGGGGAACCCTGTCTGTCTTCGTGCCCATGGCCAAACGCCCATAGCCAACCCCAGAATTGAAAAGCACGGTACTCGTTCCCACACTTTTTGATCGATGAGCATTAACCACGAGTCTCTGATAGTAAGTCACGGGTTCTGTGTCCTGCGACTATGGTCTGGAACAGTTTCTGGAAGCGGTTGTGGTTAGTGATTGTTACGCAATTCTACTGGTCATTTTACAGCTGTTTATTGAAACTCTAGATCAGGTTTCTAGACACAAAGCGACGAGCAGGTTGTGCGAGGCAACTGAACCAGTGAACCACTGTTACTCACCAAATATCTTATCCTAATTTTTCATTACTTTACTGAACACTCGGAAATTTCGCTGTTTATTGTCATCTTAATATCGTATGCATTTAATTGGCAAATCGAGTCAGAATATCGAGTATGCCGTTAGAACGGAACTGCTCTACGAGCTTGAATTAGTTTTAGAAACCGCTGTGTTGACCAGGAAGTGTGCACAATCATGTCTATAACAGGACCGAAGTCTATTTGTCGTTTTAAACAACTGATTTGTCGCAATAGGTACACCCACTACATTGTCGGCATGCGAGCTGTCCCTGAATGTAGAAAATTTGCCCAGCCAAGGTTCTTATTATCTCGAAGGAGTCGTGTAAAGGCAGTTCAGAAGCCCCATAGAAGTCAACAAAACAAACGTCAAGTGCGCGTGTTTTTTTGGGCTGAAAAACAAGAAGACCAGAATGGCCATGCGGATTTCAAACAATTTTTCAAGTCGATCGTAAAAATTATTTCAAGAGACGGTCGGATGTGGTCTTGCAGCTCCACCTGAAATGAACAAACCACAGTCAACTCTAATACGGGACCGGTGGTAATTAGGGTTTTTACAGATGATGCCGGGAAACGTACAGGCGAAGAGGTCAAGTAATTGTATGCAAAATAAAAGCTATTGGGAGTGCGCGGCTGTACCTTCAATGGTTGAGAAATAGTTGTGCTAACCTCTAACCCTAACCCCCTAAGCATAACCCTTAATCCCTAAACATAACCCTTAGCCCTAACCCCTAACCCTACCCCCTAACCCTAACCCCAACAGTATTGTGCCCATCAGGTAGGGCTACCAAACCACCTCTTAACCAAGAGGCCTCTCTGGCTTACAGGAAAGTGAATATATGACACATCGCTGACTCTTTGCAAGAGTTCTCGATTGTACATGGACAAAACTGTAAACTCTGTTTGCCCTTGAACGGATATCATTGTGTTCGCTTTAAGCTTTTTCAAAATGTTAAGAACACTGGTCTTCAAAAGCTAACGTAATAGGAGGGCACAGACATTGTTAGTGGAATACATCAACTTGCCTGGTTTGACGTACTGAAACCCGGAATCAAGCACATGAGCAGGGGTGTATGGCGGACTCGGCTTCACGCGTACCGAGCAGTACGCTACTTATGGTTCGAAAGTCATCGAAGAGTAGCAACTAGTAGTCCGAAAAAGACCTTCCTAAAAACGAAAAACCAGTTTGGTCCCGGTTCATATCTCATAGTATCTACGGCTGATTAATACACGCGGACATGAAATTCATGTTATTAGCACATCAAAAAGTAAGTAGTCCCTCATTCGGCATGGTGATTCCTTTAATTCTAGAAGTTGAAAATGTCAAGAAGAAAGTTGGAGAGGAGTGTATAGATACGCACTAGCCAAACGAAGCAACAACTGAATTAAATATTACGTTGGGCCCGAGAGTAGTCGACTTTTACTGAAATGAGGCCTACCCTCATAACCTTAGTATTCGTAATCTACATTTATCTGAAGAACGGAGGAAACTATGTATTTGCTTTTTTAAAATGTTTTTAAATCCATAAATGTACAAGCTAGATGAGTGTCTACTTTTGACAAGCGATGGTGCGTAAAACGTTTCGAACATAACGTTTAGTGAAAATAGCACCTGGCATGACAACAAAGTCATGAACGTTTGGCAAAATTTTACTACGCGTTTTTGTTTCTTGAAATTCATGAGCCTTCAAAATGTTTTCTTGTGTTTTAGGCTGAGAAAGATACTGCTTGAATTTATGTTCCTGCCCCGGTCCCAGTCGGTGTAAGTATTGATATTGTTAGTTATTTTCAACAACAACTTGTACTCAACGCAGGGGTCTTACAGTATTGTATAAACGTCTTCGTGTATCAATTATAACTTAGAAATTCCCGAATTCATTGGTATCACACTTTATTAGGCTGCCATTACTTAGCAGAGAAATACGCTACTGTAAAAGGTACGTAGACTACCTTTGGGCAAACTTTTTTCTGAGGTCAGAACCTGGTTCCATCGATATCTTCAGTCGTGTGGCCCTTGGAGGACAGGACTGTATTTGTTTCATTCTGTTCTCATTTTGGAGGGGAAAAGAAACCGTAAAACAAACCTGACAAAATAATCTTCCAACAAAGTAATCTGTTTATCTGTTCCAACATTTGTCGGTTGCAACTTTGCTGTCAAATTGAACGTTCTCACTTCATGTTTCTCTTTCGCTGCAGTACGCAGAAAGCCTTGGAAATCTGGAATGGTATCGTGCGCTCACCGCGAGGACCTGCAATGTGAGATACCTTGCTTATGTCCTATTTACGTATTCCTATAAAAAGAAACAAAAGATTAAGAGCATTAAAGTCACAGAAGTAAAATAAGTCAAAAGTCCGCTTTCGATTTTCTGTCCTGCCTTATCTGTCTGACTAAGACGACCTCTAAACTTAGATTTTACGGAAAAGTGCTGACAAAACAGACTAGCTTATTTCAATCGTCAACTGCCTTAATCTAGTTCCAAACTGCTGCGTTCCTCCCCTACAGCCAGATTAAATTAATGGGCGTCAGTTTGACGCGGCTTAAAATATTCCCAATCACAGCCAAGGACACCAGATCACTGAAATCAAAGTATCCGGTGAAATAAAGAACGGATGCTAAGATCGAACGTTTAACCTTTTTCGTCCGAGGATTAAGAATAATTTACCATTCCAGACTCTACAGTATTTGTATGCAATACATCTTCGTAAGTTTAGGTTCGTCAATAAGAAAATACCTGGGAAGTCTCTAAGCTAAAACATCGAGACAGTAAAAAGCGCCCATATTCCTCCGTGTAACTAGGTTGGGCCAGTGAGCGTTATTTCCAGGTAAGTTGGAGTGCATGACTAAAACTACTTGCTTGGCGGCGGTAGCTTGAATAAAACTTTTATTCGTCTGACATTCTGGATTTACACTGGAATCCATCCGCCGGGACAGACTCAGATAAGGCTACTGTTTGAACAGATACTGTAATATTTATTAGATGCAGTTGCTATGCCAGCTCATAGGGCCAAATGACCTACTGTCACGTCAGAAAACATCTGAAGTCTTCTGCCGGATCTGGTGGAGTTGTGGGCAAAGCGACTATGCCGCAAAAGCAGAAAGACTACTCCTGACACGAATGACTGAACACATGGCTCATTCGACAGGAGCTGGCCACACAGTTCATTCCCAGGAGACTGAAGAGGACATGTGCGTGCGCTGCGAGCTACATGAGCTACCCGTTTCTGTTTTTGTCTCGGATGATAGATTCGAGCAGAAATCCGAAACGTCAGGCTAATAAAACTTTTGTCTCAGCGATCGCGTCTCCTTCTTCAAGACTACCTGAGTAGTGTTCCTCTGGTCCGCGGTCGATCGACGGACTTCGCCTAGGCAGAATAAGTAGTGTGTAGGGAGAGCGCAGGAAGCACGGTTGCAAGTTCTGGCATTGATGAGCAAAACTGCCGAGCAACTGTAAGGCAGATGACCAACACGTGTGATAAAATTGCGATAGTTGACGATTCGGATAAGTACAATCAAGCCGTTATCGCGGCAAGTGCAGCCATCTGCGATGACTGGGGAATCATTAGCTTCGATAACCATAAATCCTTAAAATACGTCAATATTTGTACAAACGACGTCCGTGTCTGATTCTGTGTGATGCTGGATTCGGGTGTGTCCGTAACATCAAATAAATGAAACTTTTACTAACCGTTTTCTGAAACTCGCACTCTTCGTCTATGTCGACGACAATTTATTTTATTGATTTTAGAGGAACATGCGTCCTTTTAAAAGTTCCCTTTATAGGATGAAAATCACAATTTAGCGATAATTTGGCCCGCCGCCAGATATCCTCATTTTTAGCATGCGAAGCTTGAGAGTATATTTCGATTTATGAGAATGCCTGGGCAGTCCCTCAGAATGCCTTTATGGGGCATTATGAATGGACGAAATTGCAGGTTATGACTTGGAAATAAAAGACGAACACACTTTTTAAAAGAAATATAATCAAATGCAACCGAATACATAATTTACAAAGGCTTATTCCCTACAAAACGACTAGTAGATGCAAGTGTTTTGCAGTCCTTCCCAACAATCATATTCGACGCCATTTTATGGTGAAAATCCGACGCACAATAAGCGATCACACATATGTATTTTAAATAATTAGGTGCTAACAATTTGAACTCGACTCAGATGCATGCGAAAATGGATCTGGTTCGATTCCGGTACTTCTAACAAATTTCTGTTACCTCTTAAAACATGGTGATTGCTGTCACTTGTAGGCCTTCACTAATTAGCTGGATCAAAAAATGAGTGAGAACGATCACATGGACAGAAAATGCTGGTGGTTCAATGAAAAGGCAAAAAGACGGGCTAAAGTTAAAAAAACTACTTCGCAGTACACGAAAATGTACCAAAGATTGACTGAAATGTTTAATATATGAATTTGAGTAAAACATCTTTTCATGTACAGCTGCGATGCCGCTTGGAATGAATCTGGATTCATTGTAAAACGAAAATATCCAGCGTCAAGCACAATAGAGAAACGTTTAGCTTTTGGTTTTCCCTTTGTCGCAGTATCGTAAAATATGACCTATCTTGACAAGTTGTTCATAAATAAAAACTCCGGTTCTTGTATTCTTTCGGAAACCAAGCATTCGTGATGGTGAATAGTCTGCAAGTGAAGATATATTGGTTTTGAAAATACCGTAGCATGGTAAATTTTTGAGGCGCTTAAATGGGCCTATTTGAAGTCTGACTTTCGCAAGTTTATGAATGCAACTGGCAAAGTACGCACGACCTGCGGAATCTGTCACTTTATTTTGTGAGATTAATGCAGTCTAATTCTAAAGATCCGAATAAAACTTTAAATGAACTTTTAAGACGCACAATATAACATCGGAGAGCCGCCTATAATAAAGAGGAAGTACATATTTTTTCAATACACGTGAGAACCTTTTTTCTAGAGAATATGCAGGGCTTTAAAATATACCTTTAGCTATTAGTTTTTTGTAATACTCCATGTGGACTCAGTTACACCGAAATCCGATATAGAAACCCTCAAGACTTGAATACTACGTGATTTATTGACAGCGATCGAACGAAAGTGTTGGGTAGATTAATTGCCGACGTCGTTTGCATATTCTTTATAAAAACTGAAAATTCATTGGCGGCTTAGAGATTGTTTCCACAGTGATGTCATGGTAAGTTTGGATTTCGTACAAAAGTCGCAGAGGAATTTTAACTATCGATAATCTTTTGCGAAAATACAACTGATCGTAATTAAAAGATTGGAAAGTCCAAATATATTAGTTTAGTTTCCACGTACCATTAAGTTTTCGGGGGGCGAATATCTTCATAAAGTTGAATATGGTCACTTAATTTTACAGGTTCGATCATTTTCTTGAGAATTCCCAAAATATTCCCCTTAATACCTCTCTCCGTTAACCGCTTCCAAGGATTTTATGAAACTACCGCAAATTCTGATGACAATAGAAAGTATAATAAATTGACAGTCAGACAATATTCTTAGCCTTGCCCCTGAAAAGTATGCAGAAAAGCTATCTCATTTGCCAACGCTTCAATTTTGATCGCACGTAGAGGTTTATTTAAGCAGTAAATATATTGATTTAGGAACTTACGTCGATTGGTAATGACAAGGCTAGGCTTACTAACTCACGGCTAGCTTGTGGAGTTTAGTATATTTTTGTTCCACAACCACCCAGGCTGGCTGCAACTATTACATTCGCTGACATGTATCTTCTTCGGGAATTGTGGCAATGCGACTTCGATTATGTTCATGAATGACAATCATTTAGCCACGAGAGGGCATGCTTTCGTATCAAAACCCCTCCGCTCTCTCACAGCCGTCGTAATGCAAAAACAAGACAGGGTAGATTGATGTAAACTTGATTTACTGCAGTGTCCGGTTCAGCACAAAGGTCCCACAACCAGGCATGCTTGCAGATAAGTTGGCACCTTAAGACCAAACTTTTCTCATCTGAATATGACGCTGAGCAGGGTGAGTAACCTGGTAGACAAGGTGTTGACAACACAATTGTGCCACGAAAGGCAAATCGATTTAAAGACTGTTGGCCTTGATACTCATTCGGCTGAAGGGAAAAATCTTGTAAGAGGATGAGAGAAAAGACGACAGCAGGACTACTACCACCACCACCACCACCACCACCACCACCACCACCACCACCACCACCACCACCACCACCACCACCACCACCACCACCACCACCACCACCAACAATACTAGTTAAAATGACAACGGCAGCCATGAGGAAAAAGATATATGATCTTGTTATCCTGAGATCTAATTCTTGATTTTCTACAACTTTGTGTGTAGAATCAGACGGCTGACAAAGCTCGCTGCTGAAGTTGCAACCTACGCGCCGAAGGATGGAAGGTAAGTTTCCATCTTGTGCATCCTAGACAGTTTCCTGATCTTATATGTGGTAGCATGTTTTTGATTTCCTCCTCAAAGAGTTATCCACCCAAGCGAATTTGAGTATCCAGGCTATAACGATCAAGGTCTAAGGGTTTGACATTTCCAGACAGTTGTGCACAGCAAGTAAAGTGCAGGGAAATCGTTGAGGGTAAAGTCTCTATTCGGTCCTAGTAAGTTAGTTAATTTTGGCGTTTACGATCTAAATAAAATGTTGTCGAAAGTTCATCTTGCGTTAGATATGTAGCAATGAGGCTGTTTGTGTAATTTGCCAACATTTGATAATTGACATGTGTAATAGAATTGGAGGGATTTAAATTTCTCCGAATAATTCGTCACAGAGAGTTGAGGCAAGCTCATAAACGATTAGCTGTGAGAAATGCTTCACACTCAGCTCTGTCGCGGTTGGGAGTTTAATTTGGGATGATTTTTGATGAAAACTTAATTGCTATTTTCACGCACGTCCTTGTCTCTCCCCTTATCTCCTTATTCTTGTTCCTATTGTTTTCTTTTTTGTAAGTCCGCATTTATTTGCTCTCCTGCTGATGCTCCTGAGGACTTCAGTCAGAATTTGAAAAGTTCATTAAACACAAATAATTGCAAGTAAAAAGATGAATTTGCACGTGCGCAGATTGTGGAAAAATAAATGGCAGGTGAATATTCATAAAGTAAAGCAGGCAGTTTGTCTACTTAAGATACAACTGACGGAGCCTCTATGACTTTACAGAATACCGCGTTTCTAACATGGATCTTTCTCGTCTGACGCGCGTTATATTTTGAAACTGTTATAGGCCAAGACACTTTTTTAAGACCCTCTTCGTTCAGGAATAGACCTGAATACGGCAAAAAAATCACTTTAACAGAATCCTCTGTGAGGACAAGGTAGATCCGTAATTTCATCAAATCATGTCTTGTGTTTATCTCACAGTCGCGCCCACAAAGGGGAGAGCGTAATGCCAGCTGGATAGGCTTTTAGTGTTCAGCGCTTCATCACAAACTGCCCGGTAAATGAATAGTGAAAACTAGTTTGTCCCTTACGAGGCTATATTTGAGAAAAAGCCGATGTAAGTCGAATAACCACCGTTTTTCCCTTCCCGTGTAAGCATCATAGCGTCTCCTCCTTATTCCATGTTAACCCTAGTTTTTTCGATTCCTGTTCTTGTAAGCGGTGCACAGACCGTTTGTGCGTTAGGGTTTTCTGTATTTACCCGAAAACAGAGGGCCTGATCGGTGTCACTAGAGTATAAAATCAAATAAAATGCGGGACCATTAAACAACCTACTTATACAAGTCAGACTTGCAGTTCCCGCATAATAGTCAGTACTCTCTACGTCATATAGCTTCAGAGACACGCACTCCAAACTTTTGAATCCGTCCCGGAGGTTTATATAGGATTTCTAAAGTGACAACCAACCAGTCAAACCGCATCCGCGTGGAAATAAAAAACTTTGGTTGTGGCTAAAACTTCCTCCATGGAACAATTATTCTGCCATTTAATTATTGACTTGAGTCCATTCATTTAGTCGTTCGTCGAACCCTTGAGATGTTCGAAAGTTTTACAAGGGCGATTGAGACCCTGCCCTGCGAATGAGCTTGTACAATGCTCGGACAGATTTTCAAGACTGCCTACTAGTGACACTACACGACCGGTTCAAGTGTCGACCCTAGATCTGTCCATCCGTCAACCGCATACCTGATTTATCGCCTGAATAGGCAATTATGCCACTGAGATGCACGTCGCTTCGAGTATCTAGTAACAAACGCCCTGGCAAAGGTGTCATCAGCCGGAAAGCGCTTCATGACCATGAAATGTTGCTGGAAAATAGATTCATCCGGAATCCAGTTCAGAATGCCGGAAGACCTACTTCAAGTAATTGCGTTAGAGTGCTAGGGTTGCAAATGGGATGGCCAGACTCACTGAAAACTGCAGTAAGGTGTCACAGTCAGTGAAACGAACTCCTATTAGCTGCTCGAACGGTTTTTGTCCTGGCTCATCTTTGCAACCAAATACGACATTTGATGGTGTCAGAAAAAAGAAATCAAAATTGATCCTTTTGCTTTTAAAATAACAGCTGAAAACTATTCATTTACCATTCAGAAAACCCCTTTTCGAGAGAATCTTAGAAAAAGCTTCGGACCGAAAAAATGACAGCTCATTGTAAGTTTTGCGTTTTCGCAAACAATATCCTCAGCAGCTCTTAGAATCCTTTTCAACATTTTGGTTTCTCTGCAGAGAGCAAGTGATGCAGTAGATAAAGACCACTGGAAGTCAGTTTTCTATCACTTAACTACTGCATAAAATGTAAATAGGTGCAAATATTGCGGTGAACCGCTTGTGGACTTAAAGCACTTGAAATATGCAAAGTATATTCGCAGGAAATGCACTCCTACGTTGTGAGCCTAGTGGGCGTCCGATGTTCGATGCATGCTACTTACAAATAAAGGATTCAAAAAATGTTACACGCACCACAGCTTAGAATGCAAGCCTTCTTGTAAAAGCGCATTTATTGACATAATTTTAAAAACGAAGAGGCATTTATAGTCCAAGAAGGCACAGAGGAGTATTTGAAGTTTTGTTACATAATGTTGAATCCTAGTGTTCGTGTTATAATCAGACTTTTTAGCATCCGCGGCGCTCACGCTAAAGAAAATTTTTCCAGACGAAGATTCTAGTGACAAATCTTGTTTACGGTGTGGTCAGCAATCGCAAATTCTTTCGTTGACTTTCTGCTGAGATATAACCGTACTCAGATGGTCAGCAAAGTAGTGCCGGCTCACTCCCAACTCATGATCTGTGTCTCGTTCGTGGTTATCCAACAGGTAACTCCATAATCGCGTTTTGCTCTGCTAAGATGCAGCCACAAACAGGAGAACACTAGTACCGTTAGTAGATGAGAGCTAGCTGCGTAAGACCTGGAATTTTCATTGTAATTTGCTGTCTTCCTTTTTGGTATGAGTTCGATCTCATCAGATCTAACGCACGCCCAGGATTCAGTCATCGTCAACTGAAGTTTAAAACTTCACGCTGGTTCGATATGTCAGTGCGTATTCGCAAGTGCAGTCTGTCACTCTTCCACAATGACCGCTGAAACCACTGTGCCAAATCAACAAATACGAGCTGGAGTTACATTTGTACGGTTTCTGCATCTTGTCCATTGGCGCTTGATTTAACTGAAGGCTAATGGTAACCGCCAAAGTAAAGAGATTGCAAGAGACGACAGACAGATTCGTATACGTTACTAAGGGCAAAGAACGTTGGCAATAACTTTCCTTTCTTTGCTACCAACCTTTCCTGTGTTCAGGCCGACTGTTACAGCCTTATAAATTCTGTTAACGTAATCATCGTCAACAAACACTATTTTCTACACTGAGATCTTACCAATATAAACAAGATTTTCACACAGCTGTGGTCATTAGTAAATTTTCGATTGCTTTTATATACGATTTAATAAAGCTTAAAATAAATAAACATCCTGCATTCTCACAAGCTGTGAAAAGTTCGGAAAATCAAGTCTAGGATGCAAATCCGCCCTCTGCCTGTTTTAGACAAAAGCAAAATTATCATTTTTTGCGTCATACAATTAACAGTATTCAAATGACATTAACTACAAACTTATAAAGCACTGCGGTTCAAAACTCAAATGCCCCCTTTTTAGAGACTCCACCTTGAAAAACGTCCTACGTGTGAGCCCTTTTCCACAGAACGATTTGTTGTAAGACATTTTAAAAGCGATATTCTAGTCACTTTTCCAAAGTTTGGTGAAGAGTTGCATTTCATCCACGTTTCACTGCAAATTTTGAAATAATGCACCCATAATGCAACATCACGTCAACTAAAGCACTACCCTCCTATAAATATAAACCATGTGAGCCCCAATGAGAAACGTATAGTGAAATCAAAGGGTCTGAGACAAATTTCTAAATGATAACAATTAACGAGCAAATAAACTTCAATTTTCCTACTAGCTGGTTTCCTCTACTTACCAACGCGTACATGTGTATATTTTCCTTAAAAACACAGAAGACCACTCACGACGTGGTTTAAATTCCGACTGCGTTGGAGTTGAATAAGCAGAAAACAAATATCACTTACATGCCATAGGTGTCGTGGTGTCGGATGTCAGCAGATGGGTCACTGGGCACAGTCGACACAATATGCAGGACTGGAGTTACCGTATATCGCATGACGCTTCGACAGTATTCATCTTCGAAAGCGCACCTCCGCTTTTGAATAGGGTTTTGCGAGACGATGGGTATCAGAACTCCCTTTGATATGGTCTGTGATTCACTTTTGATGCTCATTGACATACGTACTTGTGCCCGATTAAGCAGTATGGTTATAACGGAATTATTTCACCCACTTGCTGACAAATGGTTATTTCTGCAAGCCCGGACAAAGTTTCTCTGTTTTCAAAAGTGTCGCCGCCTGATCAGTTAGAGAAGATCAGCATTAGCGGCGCAGATAATTAAGTTAGGGGACACAGGCCAGGAGATAATTAATCACGTTCATTTGTGACCAGCGTGTTGTCGAACAACCAGTGAGCAAATCATTTATCCGAGGTTATATCTTAAAACAAGGCCCTAAAACAATGACCAAACTTCGTCACAGTTTCACTTGATGTGAGAATCCACATTATACCCTAAGAACATATCCTTTACAGCACATCACTATATTTTTCAAGGGGACCTAATACACAGAGTGTTTTGAAAATTCACAAATTTGCTGTCCTTTTTTAGAAAAAAGTCCATAACCGAAGCACTTATGGTGTTCACAGAGGAAAATCAATTTCGTGAGCTGTAAGTTTGCTTAATCAAATATACGCTTGAAAATGA